CAGTCAAGGACCAGAGAGGGATGGATACTGATGTTTAACTCACTTCCACCCTTTTATCCAGCCCAGGTTCCCAGCACAGGGAATGGAGCCACCCACAGTGGGCGGGCCTTCCTTCCCACTTCAGTTAACAGTCAAGGTAATTCCATCTTCTAGGCTATTTTGGAGCGCATCAGTTTGGCAATTGAGATGCGCCATCACACTATTTTTACGACTTTATCACAATTTGTTTTCAATTTTTATTTCCATATGTATGGGTGTTTTACCTGTATTTATATTATATCTGTGTACTGTATGAGTTCCCACTGCCCAGGGTTCCCATGGAGGCCAAGAGAGACTTTGGATGCCCCAGAACTGGAGTTACAGGTGGTTGTAAGCTACCACATAAATGTTAGAAATTGAGCCTTGCTCCCCTGGAAGTACAACCAGTGCTCTTAGCCCAAGTCGCTCCTCCAGCCCTTACCACAAATTTGCATGGTTTTCCTGTAATACGCCTTAGTGTGTTTTGTCCCTGACTCTTCATAGACATCTTCAGGTCCTAGAGTTTCTGATTCTCTCCAGATTTGTAAATGTTCCCAACATTATTTCTCCAAAGAAAGATTTACTGATTTTGATTTTTATCTTATCTTTTAACTTACCTGTTCATTTCATGCATATGAGTGTTTTGCCTGTCTGTAAGTCTATGTACCATATACCTGCCTGGCACCTACAGAGTCCAGAAGAGGGCATCAGACCCCCTGAAACTGGAGTTGCAGACAGTGGTGAGCTGCCATGTGGGTACTGAGGATCAAACCCAGGTCCTCTGGAAGAGCAGTCAGTGCTCTTAACCACGGAGCTGACTCTTCAGCTCTTTTTTTTTTATCATCTTAACATATCTTCCTCTCCTTCAGGGTGCCAGCTGGACATATATATACACACACAAGGCTTCATGAATATGAAGGTGTCCCCGGCTGAGTGACACTTGGCTATGTTTCCTTCCATCCAGCTTTCCTTTTTTATTTTATTCATCTTTCTTTTATGCTTTACTAATATTTTTTCCATTTTGCAGACCTTGTATCGTCCCTTCCCCAATGCGAGTTGTTTGAGTCTCTTCCATCCTATACATCTCTACTTTAAGTGTTCCTTATTCTGACTTTAAACATGTGGGCTCCAGTTATATGTTTACTGTCCTTGCATTACCTCAAGTTCAAGGCTAACTTGTGCTGCAGAGTGAGTCCCAGGTACCATTTTCTCTGTGAGTTTCAGGTGACTCTGCCCTAGGCTGGCATAGCTTCTTCCTATCAGCACATACTGCAGACCATCAGGGAGTCTGTATGGCTCCTCTCACCCTCTCTGATGCTGTTCCTCTATTTGAGCTGTGCCCTGTGAACACTAGCCATCAGGGTCACCTCAGCCTCTCACAGTTCCCTTTTCCTACCGTGGGTCCCTCAACCTCTACCTGTACCACCCGGAAACCATCCCGGGGCGCACACTGGAGGTCTTGTGGCTTGCATCTGCTTCTCATATGTCAGAAATCTTTGTCAATGGCCTGGCAGCCCCTGTCTTCAAATACCATCCCATGTGTGTTTCCTCTAATGCTTTGATTGTTTCAGGTGACAGAAAATAAATAAATCAAGTGCCCGTTCCTCCATCTTGGCTAGAACCAGAAAGCTCTTCTTTCTATTTCTGAACTTATTAACCGTGGGGAGTCAAGCTTATTGATTTAGTGTGCGGCTGCTGCCTCTGCTGCGGTGCTTACTAATTAAATGTTCACTCATCATTATTCTGAGAGGTTTTTTAAGGCCTCATTTTTGTACAATTAAAGATCTAGTTCTTAAAAAAAAAACTCCTTTTGGTCTATAGTATAAAAGCATAATCTCTTGTCTTCTCAAGACTGACTGCTAGTAACTTAGTTTAATCCTAACTGAAGTCAAAGTATTCAGAAATTCAAAACCCACTTCAGCAACTAAATTTCAGTTACTAGTTCTCTCCGGTTTTCTCAAGGGGATGTCATACACTTCCTGCTGGGTGTGGTCTCCAGGAGGAACAAGGGAGGCAAGCCCACTGTGAGCCGCCCCGTGCCTTCCCACAGTACTGACGTGTTGGGGCTACACCTGACTGCCAGTGTCTGAAGATGAGGACAGTGGCCCGAGACGAAAGGTGTAGTTCTGGCAAGGTGGACCCTTCTTTCTATTCAAAGCCTTACGTGGCACCCTGTTTCGCATGGCTTAAAGTCCATATTTCTTAGCGTGGCTTTATAGGCCTTTTGTTGTTTTTCTTGGCTTGACACCAGCTTTGTATTTTCTGCTCCCAACTCTCGCACTCTGGAGTAAATGAACTACATTTCTTTCCCCTAAGAAGGCTTGGATTTTTGATTTGTAAGTAAAAAACTCGACCAGCTCAGCCTTCTAAACTATATTGAGAGATACTCCCCTTTGGTTTGTAAGAGTCAACCACTTTGCCCTTGGGTGTCTGTTGATTTACTTGACCCAAGGCCATTATGAAATACGGGATGACACTGATTCCGACGCTGACAATCTGCCTGATACAATGTTGTGAAAGCACTGGTGCAGTAAGAATGGACCGGCTGATGGGTTAGGTTGGGGTGATTAGGTTGGGGTGCTCACCTACATACACCAATGATTCAGGTAAACTGAGGCATGCAGCCATGTGCACTGCCACCCAGCCTGTCACATCACAAGAGGGAATGTGTCTGCTGGCACCGCCACCTTTACTTCTTTTAAGTGACCTTTTAAATTTTGAAACTATCATATTTTGAAGAAAATTGATTTATTGGCTAATAACTAAATGTGTGGCCTGGTTAGCCAGGGTTCAAAGATGAAACAGTCTATCCTATAACTAGTTCAAACAGAAATGAGTGGTTGTTTGTGTGTAGGAGGGGTTATTTATAATAAAACAAGAGAGGAAAAGTAACATCCCAATATTTTTCAAAAATCAAAGAAAAGAATAGAATTGACCCAGAATGAACTAGTGTTCATTTATTGGTATGAGAACATGCAGACAAGTCAAATGGCATTCTGCTACTCATGGAAGCTTCAAGTTGTTCAAAGGCCGCTCAGAGTGGGCATGGCCACGGTCTCTAGTTGATAGCAATTTCTCTCCTTGGTTAATAAAGAACTGTCAAGTCACCTGAGCTCCTTGCTGCAAGAAAACATCACTTGCCTGTCGCCAGACTTTTCTGTTCCGCCAGCCACTTCCCAAATAACCACACAGAGACTTCTTATTAATATAAATGCTTGGGCAATAGCTAGACTTGTCTCCAGCCAGCTCTTAGAACTTACATTGACCCATTTCTATTCATCTGTGTGCTGCCCCGAGGCTCGCTAATCCTCATCAATGAACTTTACATGTTGCTCCTTCCGTACCTGGCTCTCAACTTCTCTAGCTCTGACCTTCTTTTTCCCAGCATTCTCTCTACCCCCAACACCTGCCTAGCTGTTGACCAATCAGCTTTTATTAGCAGTGAGAATAACACATTTTTCCAGTATACAGAGGGATTATTCCACAGCACATGCTGCCATCCAGAACATGAACCCATCCAGAGCTGGATTCAACTGGCTCTGCCCATCATACCCTCAGTCAACTTATGACATTTTCAGCATCCTAATAGGCTGGCTGCCCTCTAGATTTGTCCCTGACCACATCCACTGAGTAGCCAGTAATCTCTCCATGTCTTTATCTCTTCTAGAAATCTTATGTAGATGATATCATACATATGTGGTCTCTTATGCTGGCTTTGTTCACTTAACATAACTCTCACAAGACCCATTCACGTAGGAGCAGAGAGCACGATAATCCTTCTTGTGGGTTTTTTTTTTTTTTGAGACAGTCTCATGAAGCCCACGCTGCCATCAGACTCACTATATAAAACTAGGGAGAGTGACCTCACAGTTCACCTGCTTCTACTTCCCTATTACAGGCATACTCCACCACACCTGACCCTTATTCCTTTTTATGACTGGATATTATAGTCCATTTCATTTATTCTATTATATACTACATTTTATTTATTCACCAGTTACTGGGCATTGGGTTATTTCTACTTTTTAGTGATTAGGAATAACGCCACTCTGAAACGTCTGAGTATTTTGTAAGAATATCTTTTCCTTTCTCTTGGGTATGTACCTAACAATATTATTCTCTTCTTTTTTTAATTTTTAGTTGTGTATGTTTGTGTGTGTCCTTGAAAAGGCAAGATGGATGTAGGATCCCCTTGAGCTAGAATTACAGGTGGTTGTCAGCCCCCTGACATGGGTGCTGGGAATTGAATTCAGGTCCTCAGCAAGAACAACATGTGCTCTTAACCTCTGAGCCACCACTCCAGTTCAGTGGAGTGCTTTCCTAAGGCAAACACTAACTTCAGGTACTAGGCTTCATTGGTTGTTTGGTTGATTGGTTTCTTGTTTGTTGACAGGTTGGTTGGTTGGCTGGTTGGTTGTTTTTTTTTTTTTTTTCATGAATTTTGGTTCCCAAGATGTCTGTGCTGTTCTGTATCCCTGCCTGCTGGTATATAGAGCCCTGTCCCTGCCTTCCCCAGTTCCCAGTACTTGTCTGCTTTTATAGATGTCTTAGTCAGCACAAAATGATTTTTGTTTCTGATGATGATGTCAAGTTTTGTAACATAGTCTATGTCTTTTTTTTTTTAAAGAAAAGTCTATTAAAGTCCTGTGCCAATTTTTAAATTTGGGCTTCTTGTCCTTTTACTGTTGAGTTGTAAGATGAAGATACTTTTGAATTTATTAGATATTATTCTATCTGTTTGAGGTAGGTGGGCGCATACATGCCATGGTGTACATGTGGGGGCAGATGACTGGCAGGAGTCAGTTCTCTCTTTCTGCCTGGTTCTGGCGATGGAACTCATGTCATCAGCCTTGGTAGCGAGCACCTTTACCTGCTGAGCCATCTCGTTGGCCCAGATAAGTTCTCAATGTTAATTTGTGTTTGTATTATCATCAAAAAAGTATGTGAGAAAGAACTGAAAGGCAACTCTCATTCTTCTGCAGGGACTGAAGGTTCATAAGAACAAAAATAGCAGTCAATGAGAGAAACAAAAGGACTGGGCCATCAAAGAGCAGCGTGCTTGCCCCGCTGGCCACCATGCGGAAAGGAGTACTGAAGGACCCAGAGATTGCTGACCTCTTCTACAAAGATGACCCTGAAGAGCTTTTTATCGATTTGCATGAAATCGGACATGGGAGCTTTGGAGCTGTGTACTTTGTAAGTAATTGGCCTATGGGGTAGAGTAGGCTCAGGAAGAATAAGCCCTGCTGTCTACTGGAAAACACACTTGTGTTCCCTGTAGCGATGCACGGTCATTGCTGGAGGCAGTTCTGGATGGAGCGCTAGGCTCTATTCCAACCATGGTAAGGCAAAGTGATAAACTTGAAGTCGATCCCTGTGTGTTTCCTCGAGATGCCAAGCTACTTCAGCCTCTTCTCTCCATCCCTTCACCCCAAAGCTTCCAAACCCCCCATCCCAACTGTGGAGCCCTTATCAGTCTGGCAGATTTCAGCCTAAACATTACTTCCACAAGACAATTTTTACTATTCAACCCTCTACCTCTTAACAGCCTGTGTTTATGTTTAGGGATATGCTAGCACAGGGACTAGTCATGTGTGTCCCTTACCCTAAATAATATGCACCATGATAACAGTGCTATGTCCATATCATTCATTACTGTGTTCCTAGCAACTAGTATAATGTCTGCCAATGGTAGGAATTACATAAATGTAAGGAAATAGATGGGTGGGTGGATGGATGGATGGATAGGTGGGTAGGAGGATGGATGGATGGATAAATGGGTAGATATAAGGATGGATGGATGGATGGATGGATGGATGGATAGACAAGTGGATAGATGCATAGATGGATGGATGAGCAGATAAATGGATGGGTAGGTGAATAGATGGACAGAGAAATAGCTATTTAGAGAGATATGTAAAGACATTTATTGACGATCACAGGAAGTCACTGGTTTCTGATAAATGGTGCAAGGCTATCCCTAATCCCTAATCTTTCAGGAGGTGTATTTTTTATGCGAAGGTAAGAAATGGCAGTGGTGGGAGCACAGCCCATTCACCTGGAGTCGGTCATGTGAAACAGAGTCCTTCCACTTGAAATTGTAGGAGTCTGCTTCATCAGAGCAAATAGCTTAGTAAAACAACTAGGAGCAGAGTGAACTGTAACTTCTCCTTCCCAGTCCTGTTTCTAATCACTCTTCTCGAGTGGGCCTCAGCTTCAACCCTCCGGGTACAGCTCTCCTTCAGTTGTCCTTCCCAATAAGGTTTCCTGTGTCCAGCTCGTCCTCCTGCAACTCACTTCACCACGAGTCTCCTCAGAGCCCTCCTGCAGCTCTTGCTATCTGTGCTCCCATAGTCCCCCTTTCTTCAGTCACATCCCATACTCATCTTGGTATTGTATCACTGACTCAGCTTCCTATGGCTGAAAGGGAGGACCATTTTCTGTTTAGTCTTAATTTTTTACTATAACATTAAATACCCAAGCAAAATCCTGTTTCCTTTTTCTTTTCTAAATATTTTTATTTATTTTTCCCATTTTCTTTTTCACAAAGATTCTATTTTTAAAATATATTAAATTCTATTTATTTATGTATTTTTTTTAGCGTATGAGTGCTCTTTTTGAATATGCCTCTATGCCAGAAGAGGGCATCAGATCCCATTATATATGGTTGTGAGCCACTATGTGGTTGTTGGGGATTGAACTCAGGACCTCTGGAAGAACAACCAGTGCTCTTAACTGCTAAGCCATCATCTCTCCAGCCCCTTTAAAGTATTTTTAATATATCATACATAAAGAAGTACACACAAAAAAAAATTGGCCTGAGCATAACTCAGAGGTAGAGCATTGTCTAGCATGACCAAGGCTGAAAACTCAAACCAACAGAAAAACAAAAGCAAGCACCTACCCTTACGAATATATATTTTAAGCAATAATTAAAAGGCAGTCTCTGGGGAATTACCAGCACAAGAAGAATACTGCTAGATCCAAGAAGCCCCTCATATGCCCTTCCTGTTCCCAGGGCAACCACTCCCTTCTCCCCTGAGCAGTGTCCACTGTCTGTATTTCATGGCACATGTCCTCTTGCTTTTCTTTATATGTAACTGTTACTTTGACACCCTAAGGCAGAGTAACTTTGTTTTACCTAGTTTTTAAGTTCTTTAAAATGGAAACATTTGGGGCCAAGAAAGATGGCTCAGTTGTTAGAGCCAGTACTGCTCTTGCAGAGGACCCAAGTTTGGCTCCCAGCACCCGTGTCAGGTGGATCACAGTCGCTGTAACTTGAGATTTCATGTATCCAAAGCCCCCTCTGGCTTCCACAAGGACCTGCTTACTTACACGTGGTGCACATACTCAAGCAGGCACACATATATACTTACAAATAAAAATAAATTGCTAAAATTTTTAAAAATAAAATGGAAACATTTTGCATTCCTTCATTCTTTTCTTTTTGTTTGTTTGTTTGCTTCTGTTTTGTTTTTCCAGACAGGGTTTCTCAGTGTACAGCCCTGGCTGTCCTGGAACTCACTCTGTAGACCAGGCTGGCCATGAACTCTCCGAGATCTGCCTGCCTTGCCTCTGAGTGCTGGGATTACAGGTGTGTGCCACCACTGCCCAGCTGCATGCCTTCATTCTAACGTGTTTGCCTTGCTCAGACATATTCACCAGTGGTCGCTCCATTCACTCCTGTTGCTCTGTGATCAGTTCGTCCTCTCTGAATCTCTCTTGCCTCATTCTCTACCTGACTCTTCTATTTTAAAAAGCAGACAGCATTTCCAAAGTCCCAGTGCCTCATAGCAAATACAGGAGACCAAGTATACAATGACACTTAGAAACAAGCCCATGTCGCAGGGTGGTGAGGCCACCCCACAGAATGCCTAATGTTTGCTTTGGGACTGGCATTTTAACTCATGTCTGTCCCTTTGAAGAACACTCTGATGGGAAGGCTAACACCCCTGTGTGCAGTGGGTGCTAGGTCTGTCACGTGTTGCTAATACTTAACCAGAGAAATGATAGAGGGACTTTGGAGGTTTTAATGCCTACAGGTGACCACTAGTCTATACTGTTCACATTCAGAAGTGTGTTCACTGAAGACAGGTAAAAAGGATGCCAATGCTTTAATATGAAACTTATAAAAAAATAAAACAGTTTTACCCTTTTGTCTACTGTGGACATGTAGACAGAGCCTCAAAGATCGATTTCTCATTGGTCATCGTAGGTGTTGTTAATTCATCGTGAGTGGCACACCTTCCTTCTGGCCAAGGAGGGATCCTTCCTCTTGTTACACCAGGGCCACTGTTCTCAAGAAGACCTTACCATCCCTTTGGTCTCTGTCTGCTTGTTTGGTCCCTGTCTCCTCAGTTGCTGAAAAAAAAATATGTGTGTGTGTGTGTGTGTGTGTGTATGTGTGTGTGTATGTGTGTGTGTGTGTGTGTGTGTGCGGGCACATGTGTATAGCTCACTGTAGCTCACTCTTTTTTGCTTAAGAGGCTTTGTAGCCTCACTTCTATTCTTAGTCTAAGCTCATGTCCTTGCTGTTGCCACCAACAAGACCCATCCCAGTGTGGTCCCTGTGCATCTGAGCTCCCCTCTCAGGACCATGCGTGACCCTTTCTGCTGGAACATTCCCCACTGCCCATCTCTGCTGACTCTTGTTCATCTTTAGACATTGTGTAAAAGGAGACTGTTCATCCATTTCCCTGCTGCCCAAACCCAAATAATTACAGAAACTATGTTAAACACAACACTGTTTGGCCAATAGCTTATGCGTATTCATCTTAAATTATGCTCTTACATCTTAAATTATGCTCTTACATCTTAAATTAACCCATTTCTATTCATCTATGTATCGCCATGAGGATGTATGTGGCTTACTGGTAAGGTTCCGGTGTCTATCTCCTTCAGCAGCTACATGGCATCTCCCTGACTCTGCCTACTCTCTATCTCTGTTTGAATTTCCACTTGACTGTACTCTGCTAAGCCACTGGCTGAAACAGCTTTATTCATCAACCATCCCACATCAGCACTGATATAGACCTCATTCCTTCCAGAAATGTACCCCCTAAGCCACACTGAGGCACGCTAACCACATACCCAGCTCTGCTTTGAGTCTTCTGTCTCTCCTGTTAGTGGAGAGATGTGTACCAGGCATATTTACCCACGATTCTGCCGCTACCATTTAGCACAATACCTAACAAAGATGAACACATAGTAAGTGTTTGTCCTGGATCTAGGGAGATGGCTCAGTGGGCAACCTGAATTCAGTCCCCAGATCCTGTGGTCAAAGGATCAAACCAACTCATGCAAGTTACCGTCTGACTTCCACACTCACATGATGGCACCACCAATGACAAAAATATATAGATAAATCTTAAAAAATTAATAAGATTTGCTGGTTGGATGAATGGATGTTGGAAAACTCATAGTTATTGATATGGCCAATTAGTATTTTTGATAAATCATAGCTATTCTAGCTAGTCTTAAAGATCAAGAGTTTGTTCTACAACCATACTACTCTGAGCAGACCTCATCCCTTCTGCTCTCAGAAGCAAAGCAGGGCTGAACCCGGTTAGTACTTGGGTGGGAGACCAACATGTTATGTTGTAATTCCTGCTGACTCTTTGGGGTTAGCAACTGTATGTGGAGTGGTACCAGGAAATGAGTTAAAAGTGACTCATAAGTTCTCACAGCTCTTGTGAAATTAATTGGCTGAGGGTATGTGTTCCACTCAGAACATAAGAAGTGTTAGCCTGATGACATACTAGAGACAGACATTTTCTGTCCCGCCAGCCAGCTCCCAAATAACCACATGGAGACTTCTTACTAATTATAAAAGCTTGGCCAATATCTTAGGCCTGTTTCTAACTAGCTCTTATAATTTAAATTAACCCAGGTCCTCTGGAAGAGCAAGGAGTGCTTTTAACCACTGCGCCATCTCTCCAGCCCAGTAGTTTTTACCTCTGTCCCCTTTTATGTGTCTGGCTTGTTCCATGTGTGTTTACTCTTTATATCTCCACCTTTCTTCCCAGCGTCCTCTCTGCCCTAAAAAGCCTGCCTAGCTATTGGCCATTCAGCTTTTATTAAAACAATCCAAGTGACAAATCTTCACAATGTACAAAAAGATTATTCTACAACATCATGCATTTATGGTTTGGATTTACATCATTCTGTTTATTTGTGTTGCGAGCTGCAGACAGACCTCTGTGAGTTCGATGCCAGCCCGGTTCATGTTGGTCACTCAAGCCACTGTGAGCTTTGCAGTCTCTAGTGCTTTCTTAGAGCCAGCTGGTCCTCTGCAGGTTGCCTCCATCAGTCCATCTCGGCAGAACTGTTTTTGACCTTCATCGTAAATGCAATAGAACAAAATAAAAACTTGTGCTTGCTTTTATACTTTTATCAGGAGCTAGAGAAATGGCTCAGGGGTTAAGAGCACTTACTGCTCTTGCAGAGGACCTGAGCTGGTTCCTAGAACCTTCATCAGGTGGCTCACAACTCTCTGCAACCCCATCTCCAAGGGTTCCATCACCCTCTTCTAACCCCCACAGGCACTGCATTCATATTCGCAAACCCACACCCAGACAGACTTAAACACTTCTCTTAAATAAAAGTAAAATCTTAAAAATAAATAAGTGCCAGGCGGTGGTGGCGCGCACCTTAATCCCAGCACTTGGGAGGCAGAGGCAGGCGGATCTCTGTGAGTTTGAGGCCAGCCTGGTCTACAAGAGCTAGTTCTAGGACAGACTCCAAAGCCACAGAGAACACAGAGAAACCCTGGCTTGAAAGACCAAAATAAATAAATAAATAAATAAATGTATCTTTATAAACTAGCAGCAGTCTGGAGAATGGAAACAATAAGAAGACACAAAGTTCCCAGAAAGCATGTCTGCAGCCTGTGATCTTGTCCAGAACTCCCAAGATTGTTCATTCTATTGGAAATTTATAGTGTGAGTCTATGTTCCCAGGATAACTGTAATCACACAGAGTACAGTGCAGGGTACCGTAAAGGAGAGATTACGCAGTCTCCTCTTCTGTTGGAAAATCTTCTTTTCATTTGTTTGGTTTTTGGGTTTGTTTCTATTTCTGTTTTGATGTTGTTGTTGTTTTCTCTGTATAGCCCTGGCTGTCCTGGAACTCACTCTGTAGACCAGGCTGGCCTTGAACTCACAGAGATCTGCTTGTCCTCCCAAGTGCTGGGATTAAAGGCATGTTCCACAGCCACACGGCCTGTTGTAAATCTTTATCAAGTGTCTTGTTCTGATTTGTAACCAATATAAAGCTGTACTAAAAATTTCCCATACCTAGGCTGGAGAGATGGTTCAGTGGGTAAGAGCACTTGTTGTCCAAGCACGAGGACCTGAGTTTGAATCCCTGGCACCAGTGAAAAGCAGGATGTGGCCACACAACCCTCACACACCTGTGACCCCAGCGCTGTCAGTGGCAGAGGCAGGAGGATCACTGGGTCTCACTGGCCGCCAGTTCAGCTCCAGGTCCAGTGAGTGACCTGGTCTCAAGAGAATAAGGTGTAAAGCGATAGAGCAGGGCCTTCCATCCTCCTCTGGCAGCAATATGCACATGTACACATACACAGTGAACACACATACATGTACAAAGCACCTTCACATGTCTATAGGAAATCAACATGGAAATTGTTTTCAGCTTTGAGTCCCAGAGTAAGTGCACACTGCTAGTCCAACTAGGATGGCCCTGTAGGCGTAAGGAAGCAACAGCAAACAGCATCGACTGTAATTTTTTTAATGAGCAATTACTTTCTTTTTAGATTTAGATTTATTTATTTATTATATATACAGTGTTCTGCCTGTGTGTATGACTGTATTCCAGAAAAGGGCACCAGATCTCATTACAGATAGCTGTCAGCCACCATATCGTTGCTGGGAATTGAACTCAGGACCTTTGGAGGAACAAGCAGTGCTCTTAACTGCTGAGCCATCTCTCCAACCCATGAGAAATTACTTAATGGCTCTGTCTAATTCTATTCGACTCTTCTTTCTCCTCCCCTCCCTTTTCCTCCCCTCCCCTCCCCTTCCCTTCCCTCTTGCCCTCTCCCCTGCTCCCCGTCCCTGTGATAGTGGCTCCCAGGCCTCACACATGCTGGGCAAGTACTCTCCGATACCTCTATCGTGTTTTCTTTTAGTAAACGTGAAGAATTTGATTTTTTTACAGACTAAAATATGACTTCATGACCAAGCATGTACTATGCGTAATTGTTTGTTTATTTCTGGTTCTGGGCTGGAACTTAGGGCCTTACTCATGCTAAGCTATGGCCAACTCCCAGACCAAGGTTTTGTTTTTAATGAAAGTATATATATATATATATATATATATATATATATATATATTATAAACCAATAATTACCTTATCCATGCCTGTCTAGAGACCTTCAGAATTGAAAGCGTTTAACTAGTAGGTACCTTTTATAATAGATCCTGTCACCTTAGTGAGTATATAAAATTCTTTAATATGCATTCATTTTCCCTGCACTTTAGCATTGGGAAAGTGTCTTGGCTACCTGCTGAATAGTACAGCAATAGACGTGTGTGTGTGTGTGTGTGTGTGTGTGTGTGTGTGTGTGTGTGTCTGGGGGTTGTCTGGTTCTTTTTTAAAAGATTTATTTTTACTCATCTGCATGTATGTGTCATGAGCCACTATCACAGGGACGGGGAGCAGGGGAGAGGGCAAGAGGGAAGGGAAGGGGAGGGGAGGGGAGGAAAAGGGAGGGGAGGAGAAAGAAGAGTCGAATAGAATTAGACAGAGCCATTAAGTGCCCACAGAGGCCAGAAGAGGGAGCCCAATCCCCTGGAACTGGAGTAATGGACGCTTTGAGCCTCCATGTGGTGCTGGGAACCAACCCCAGGTCTCCATAAGAGCAGCCAGAGCTCTTAACTCTGAGCTCTCTCTCCATCCTGATTGTCTGGTTCTTTCTCTTCATGGTTGATCTCGTGTGTTTAGCTGGCACTCCATTGTTGGGCCTCTATGAAGGTGAATCCCAACCTTTGAAACTTTTTTTTGACCATGTATTTTCTTGATGTCCTGTAATAACTCTCATGTTATTACAGCAAGCATTTGAGAAACTGTTTCCATGAGGTCAGTGGGGGTGTCCTCAAGAATGACGTTGCCGAGGTGTGGGAGCAAATGTTGCTAGGCTCTAGCCCACTGCTTAAGGTGCCTGAATAGCTTAACCTTTTCTATTTTTCTTCCTCTATCTTGTAATAGGCAACAAATGCTCACACCAACGAGGTGGTTGCAGTTAAGAAAATGTCCTACAGTGGGAAGCAGACCCACGAGGTAAGACAGTCACGTGCCTAAACAGAAGTGTGACATTTGGGTGAGCTCTGGCGTCCACACAGGGGTGGGCTGCTCGTCCCTAGGGTTGTCATGTGTATTTCAAAAGTCACTAGAAGGGCTGAGCCCACTGTTCTCACCACAGAGACATGGTCATTGTCTGAGATGACCAATGGGCTGGAGATATGTAGAGTACCCTATAACACATAGGATTAGTGTGTGTCTATGAAACATAGAAAAAGCTTTCCATAATGTAATCCATGAAAGATATTTAAGTATTTATTACAGTGTTGTTCTTTTGTGTTCCCTTTTCAAATCAAGGACAGTTTCGTAAGAGTTTTAAAGAAAATCCTTCCCAGGAAGGCAAACTGCAAACCTCAGTAGCTGCCCATAGAGCAGGGAGACAAGGGGAAACCGTGCCATTTAAGCCGCCATGACACATGGCAGACAGGGAGGGAGGCCCTAAAGCAATGTTTCTCAACCTGTGAGTTGGCCCATTGGGGTCAAATGGCTTTTCACAGGGGTCACATATCAGCTATCCTGCATATCAGATATTTACGTTACAATTCAGTAATGTAATTTCGCTAACAAGAGAGAAATCACAGCTCTGAAGTAGTAACGAAAACAATTTCATGGTTGGGGGTCACCCCAACATGAGGGTCTGTATTAAAGGATCATAGGATCAGGAAGGTTGAGAACCACTGCTCTAGAGAAACAGCAAGAAGGCCCAAAGAGTTAGGGAAAGATGCAGGCCAGGCAGTGGTGGCACACACCTTTAATCCAGCGCTTGGGAGGCAGAAGCAGGTGGATCTCTGTGAGTTTGAGGCCAGGACAACCAGGACTGTTACACAGAGAAGCTCTGTCTCAAAAAGAAAAGAAAACACCCAGAAAGATGGAAAGGGGAGTTAGGCTTTTCTAGGTTACTCAGTAAGTGAGCTGCCTTTGGACGCACAGGAAACCACTGGCCATATGTGGTCTCTTGTGGGGGCCTCTAGCAAAACTTCCTGATATTGGATCTAAGCAACAGCCTTCCAGCATAGAACATGGATGTGAGTAGTGCTTTAATTTCGATATATTTGATGAGAGATTTGGACCTTACATTGTAGTAAGACAATATGGCACAAGGTATCTAGCTGGTTCATTTATTAAACATTTACCTTATAGCCATCTAACACAGAAGAAGAAAACTATAAAATATATTTATATATGTATATACACACTTGATAGATGCTGTTTTCATCCTGATTAATAAAACAGTTTTTCTGATTTCCATAGAAATGGCAAGATATTCTTAAGGAAGTTAAGTTTTTACAGAAGTTGAAGCATCCGAACACCATTGAGTACAAAGGTTGCTATTTAAAGGAACATACTGCTTGGGTAAGTCAGAGCATCTCTAGTCTCTTTTTCTATTAATTTTTAAAATTATTTATTTGAACTATAAAATTTTAAGTCCTGTTTCTGTCCCATTAGACTTTTGTAATTGATAATAACACTTGTCAGTGCTGGCCAGTTTGTCATATGGTGTGCGTTCCATAAGACTAGACATGCCTGCCCACTGTATCGGAAGCATCATTCTGAGAGCAGTCAGCCAAGGCATGGTAAAGTTACTGTCATCTTGTGAAACCTAAAGTTAAATCCTGTTAGTCTCCTAGAATTTCTAAAGATTTCTGTCCCATGTATTTTGTGTGTGCATTTTTGCAGTGCGCACATGCTTGTGGAAAGAACAAAATGTGGTCCAGGGACTGGACTCAAGTCAACAGCAGCAAGTGCCCTTGCACACTGAGCCGTCTAGCCGGCCTTCATCCTAGAATTTTCTTTTAAGATTTATTTATTTTTATTTTGTATGTATGAGTGTTCTGCCCTCATATGTGTGAGTGCACCACGTATGTGCAGTGCCCAGAGTTCTGAAGAGGGTACCAGATGCCCTAGAACTGGACTTGCAGACAGTTGTGAGCGACCATGTGTTTACTGGGAATTGAACCCAGGTCCTCTGCAAGAGCAGCCAGTGCTCTTAACTGCTGAGCCATCTCCCCAGTCCTCATTCTAGAGTTTTTATTTTTGCCACTTCCACCCTCCTCCCCATTCCATTTGACTGAAAGCCTGGCACTTTGCTAGACACTGTCCCTGTACAGCTCTCACAGAGTGACACCACCCCTGTGATCCTGGAATGGGGCACACTTTTCTTCCACGCAGTTTGTTTTTGTTTTGTTTGTTTGCTTTTATTTTTTATGTGAGTGTCACTAAGTCTGGCATGTCACACACTATTAGAATATGAAGGTGTTAAGCTTCGCAGTTAACCACAATGAGCATTTTTGCTTTAAGTCCAATTTAGCTGTCTATGAAAGGTTGCTTGTGACAAGCCAAGGTCTCTTGCTTACAGGAAATGGACGTTTTGTTCCTAAACATTGTGTGTAAACACTTCTGTTTAAGGAGTTAATTTGGTGTGTGTACATGCATTTCTGTGTGTGTGTGCATGTGTGCCTGTATGTTTTCTGTGTACGTATGCATACAAGCATTTCTCTATGTGAGCAGTGAAGGCCACAAGTTGAAAGTCAAGTGTCTTCCTCCGTCACTTTCCACCTGCAGACAGTGTTTCTCACTGAACCTAGAATTGGCCCATTTGACTGGACTGGCAAGCTAAGGAGCCCTCAAGGGCCCACTGTATCCACCTCCCAGCACTGGGATTGCAGGCACACACCCCTATATCCCACTTTTACATGGAGACCGAGCTCTGCTCCTCATTCATGCAAGGCAAGCTTTACCCTCTGAACCATTTCTCCAGCCCTTAAGAGCCCTTCAGCCATCTAGACCACTGCTTCCTGTCTGAACAGATGTTAATCAAAGGAGCATCTTATCTGGAAATCAGTTGCCCTGGGTAAGCTCAGCGGTCTTAGAGGAGTCTAGAGAGATCTCACTCAGTACTGCAAGTTCAAGGAACCAGAAGTCTGGGCAAAGCCTCAGGAACTCTTCCTCCTGGCCTGCTTATTCTTCAGTTACACAGAGTTCTAGCCAGCTCCCTCTTGGTTTCCATCTACAACTAGTTTGACTACTGGTTAGAAGACACTCTCGTAGGCACTGAGCTGCTAGAGGCGGGCAGACAAACAGCACCAGCAGTGGCGTGGCCATGCGGAGGAAGTAGAGAGAGCAGGAGACAGCAGCGAGGCTGTGAAGGACTGAGCAGAGCTGTGACAGCAATGCTCAGGACCTTTTAACAGGCACAGCACACCTCCTTCCTGTCCTGGGGTTTTGTTGTTGTTGTTTGGTTAGTTATTTTGGTTTTTTAAGATAGGGTTTAGAGCCTGTCTTGGAATTCTTTCTGTAGACCAGGCTGGCCTCAAACTCAGAGATCCACCTGTCTCTACCTCCTGAGTGCTGGGATCAAAGGCGTGCACCACCACTGCCTGGCCCTTCCTGTCCAGTTTTAAAGATGTGTGAGAACACAGTGACTCAACATAGTGATTCTGCATAATAGTACACAACCATACATGTAGGCAGAGACTGCTTGTTCGTTTCCAGCTGCCCAGACCCAAATAATGACACAGAAACTATATTAATTACAACACTGTTTGGTCAATGGCTCAGGCTTATTCCTAGCTAACTCTTATGTCTTAAATTAACCATTTCTATTCATCTGTATATTGCCACAAGGTTATGGCTTACTGGTAAAGTTCTGGCAGGGGGATGTCTTTCTCCTTTGGCAGCTACATGGTATCTTTCTGACTCTGTCTACTCTCTCCTTATCTCTTCCAGCCTGGCTCTATTCTGCCTTGCTATAGGCCGAAGCAGCTTCTTTATTAACCAGTGGTAATAAAACATTCACAGCATACAGAGGGGAATCCACATCAAATGCACAAAGTGGAAAGTGCAATCTGAGTTTGGATTTTAATCCTGTCTTGGGCTGCCATGCACCCCCACGTTCCTCCCTGATAATGCTGGGCTGGGCCTTATGACCACAGGGCCCACCAGTTCTCCACAGAGCATAATGGTCCCCTGTCACCTGTGGGTCATGTTTCCAGACCCCAGTCGGTCTTTAAAGCCATAACTAGTACTGAGCTCTGTACATGTTATGATTTTTTTCTTGGTTATACATGCCTATGATAAGGTACAAAAAAAAATTTTTTTTTGAGGCATAGGCCCAAAAGGAATAATCCTGAATGGTCCAGGACTCACTGTGTAGACCAGGCAGGCCTCTAAATCAGAACTTCTTGCCTCTGCCTCCAGAGTGAAGGAGTTAAAGACATATGCCACCACACTATCTTGATAGAAATTTCTAAATTAGACATAGATTAACAACAGTAGGAACTGAAGTAAAGCCGACAGGTGTCTGCTGCAGTGGAATTGCCAGCATCACTACTCTTGTGCTTTTGTCCATTATTGACTAAGATAAGGATTACTTGGATACAGCTACTGTGGTGCTGTGACCATGGTACTATTGGGTGGGTGGTGTATACAGCGGACACTCTACCAAGGGCTGATTCTCATGCAGAGCAGGAAAGAAAGATGTACATCTTAAAGCTTGTGACTTGTTTTTTCTGGAGTCTTTCATCTACTGTATTTGGATCACACCTGACCATGAACAATTTAGCCAGGATAGGAAAAATCACAGCTGTGATCATATCAGGGTACTGTGTGGCTAATCTACACTGTATCACAGATGTGGGGTCTCTGCACTGTGTGGCTAAGCTACACTGTATCACAGATGTTACAGATGTGGGGTCTCTGCACTGTGTGGCTAAGCTACACTGTATCACAGATGTTACAGATGTGTGGTCTCTTACTGTGTGGCTAAGCTATACTGTATCACAGATGTTACAGATGTGGGGTCTCTGCACTGTGTGGCTAAGCTACCCTGTATCACAGATGTTACAGATGTGTGGTCTCTCCACTGTGTGGCTAAGCTACACTGTATCACAGATGTGTGGTCTCTTACTGTGTGGCTAAGCTACACTATATCACAGATGTTACAGATGTGGGGTCTCTGCACTGTGTGGCTAAGCTACCCTGTATCACAGATGTTACAGATGCGTGGTCTCTTACTGTGTGGCTAAGCTACACTGCATCACAGATGTGTGGTCTCTTACTGTGTGGCTAAGCTACCCTGTATCACAGATGTTACAGATGTGGGGTCTCTGCACTGTGTGGCTAAGCTACACTGTATCACAGATGTGTGGTCTCTTACTGTGTGGCTAAGCTACACTGTATCACAGATGTTACAGATGTGGGGTCTCTGCACTGTGTGGCTAAGCTACACTGTATCACAGATGTGTGGTCTCTTACTGTGTGGCTAAGCTACACTGTATCACAGATGTTACAGATGTGGGGTCTCTGCACTGTGTGGCTAAGCTACACTGTATCACAGATGTTACAGATGTGTGGTCTCTTACTGTGTGGCTAAGCTACACTGCATCACAGATGTGTGGTCTCTTACTGTGTGGCTAAGCTACACTATATCACAGATGTTACAGATGTGGGGTCTCTGCACTGTGTGGCTAAGCTACACTGTATCACAGATGTTACAGATGTGTGGTCTCTTACTGTGTGGCTAAGCTACACTGCATCACAGATGTGTGGTCTCTTACTGTGTGGCTAAGCTAAACTGTATCATAGATGTTACAGATGTGTGGTCTCTTACTGTGTGGCTAAGCTACACTGTATCACAGATGTTACAGATGTGGGGTCTCTTACTGTTTGGCTGCTCTGTGATGATCAGTTATTTGCTGAGGTTAAATTCCTTCTCTTTGTTCTTTCCTTTGTGGTATCTTTTTCCTTTGTGATAGAGCTGGGAACTGAACCCAGGGTGTCGGATGTACAGGGCAAGCACTCTGCCACTGAGCTATAGCCTACGTCCTGTAGCTGGATTTCTAAGTTATCCTCAACTTATATTGGGCTTACAGGGCAGAGGACCAGCTGTCCTCACCACTCACATTTTCAGTGTAAGGAAGTTTAGTCTGCATATTTAGCTGCTTACTCAAAAACTAGAAAAGCAAGTGATACAGTTTAGTAAGTTTTCCATCCAAATTACCTTAAAAAGAAGTAGGGTACATATAAAATTAACATTCATGAAAATATTTACTTCAGTGGGATCTTTCATGTCTCAATAAGAAAGAAAATATAGTTGTTAAATGTTTAAAGTCTGTTTATTGTTGTATGTGCGCACTCACATGCTGAACACATGGAGGTCAGAGGACAACTTTCGTGAGTCGGTTCTCTCCTTCTGCCTTGTGGGTTCTGAGGATCAACTCAGTGTTCCAGGTGTGGCAACAAACTCTTTACCCACTGAGCCATCTTGCCAGCCACACAATAAAGGACTTATAAATATATATCTGTGCTGTTTTTCTGTTCTTCATTTGGGTTTTCAATTTGGGTTGTTTTTTGTTTGTTTTGTTTTGTTTTGTTTTGTTTTATGTGGCACAGACCAACTTGTCACAACCTTACTGCCTCAGCCCCCTGTGTGCCAGAATTAGAAGTGTGAGCTACCACACCCTGCTTGAATTTGTCTTTTTATGCCAAGAAGGATGTTATAAAGTGTCTCAACCTGTAAAAGTCTATATTGTTTGAGTATTGTGAGGTATATAGTATATGAATGTTCATAATGAAAGGAACCACTGAGGTGACACTGGTTATGTCTGGGTGGTCACACATAGCCATTGGGATTCACGCTTCCTTTTAGAATAGCTGACAGCATGTGGTCATACGTGTGGCAGAAAACACTCGTGGCTTTGGCTCTGGCCATAAACCAGCAGTCTGGGACACAGGGTCTGGGATGGCAGCCTCGGAAGTGTCTCCTCATTTTTGCTTTGAGAAAGCCTCTAAAACTGCCTCGCTGAGAATGTTCAGCAACATGATCAAATAAACTCTTACTGTTGAGGATATGCGTGTATGTGGAGAATGTCCTCAGATGGCATTCCTTGGGTGTTCACCGCTTTGTTTTTTGAGACAGGGTCTCTTGTTAGCCTAGACTTCTTCTGGTAGTCTAATCTGGCCGGATTGCAAATGAACATTGCTATGCCTGAATATTTTCATGTGGGTTCTGGGGTTAAATAATGAATAAATATTTTTAAGATACAAATTAAAATCTCCGGATGGCACTGTTCAAAGTAGTGGCATTGGACTGATTCAGGTTAACAGCACATGGCAGGCCACCTCTTTAACTGAGCCCTACAAAGACATGTTTCTTGTTTCAAGCTTTAGAGTGTGGACAAGGAGGACTGCTAACTGGGGGTTTTCTGTTTAACTGGTACTGAAGATTGAATCCTATATAAGTGCGTAGTCCTGAGCCCAAACAGATTTTTCTGGCTTGTGTATTCCTCAACACTTTCTAAGTTACAAATTTTATCTTGTAATAAATAATAATCAATAGCATCTAGGCACTCAAAACCTATTATGAAACAAGACTGTAGGGTATTAGGTCGGAATTGGCAACCTCAGCTTGACTATCTACAGCGAATATTTCTTTATCAATCCTCATATGGTCTGAGGCCAAGTCCAAGTGAAAGATGACAAGAACTGAAATGTCAAAAATTATGAAAATTAATTCATTATCGAGTGACCAGATAAGGCAGATTTAGTTCAGGCCAAATGGTTTTTCTTCCTGATGTTCTTAGTGCTATGGTTGGTTGGTTGGTTGGTTGGTTGGTTGGTTGTGTACTTGGTTGATTAGTTATTCAGTTGTTTGTTTGGGTACTTAGCTAGTTGTGTGGTTAGTTGGGTAGTTGTATGGTTAGTTCATTGGTTGGTTGATTGTTGGTTGTGTGCTTGGTTGATTGGTTATTTGCTTGGTTGTTTGGGTACTTAGTTGTGCAGTTGGTTGGTTTTGTGGTTAGTTGAGTGACTGTTGGTTGGGTTGTGGTTGATTTGTTGATTGTTTAGTTGACTGGCTAGTTGGTTGGTTGGCTGATTGACTAACTTGAGGGACTTCTTATTAACTTTTCTTATTATCTTTTAATCTGTTTCAGTTGGTGATGGAGTACTGCTTAGGTTCAGCCTCTGACCTGTTAGAAGGTAAGGATAACATCACTGTGCTTCGCCTGTTTGTCCTCCATCATGTTCTCTGTGGGGCTAAAGAGGCAGCTCAGCGGTAAGAACACTCTGCTGTTGGGGAGGACATGAGTTTGGCTCCCAAGTGGCTCACAACTGCCTAAAACTCCAGCCTGGGGACCTGACACCCTCTTCTGGCCTCCACAGGCACCCACATTCATTTGTGCCCGCACACACACACACACACACACACACACACACACTGAAATAAAATCTTATTTTTAAAAGGAGGTTATCTACTTCTAGAAAAATAGACAAAGTGCAATTTGGGCCTCTGGTCGAAAGATGGTTAAGGGCCACATGGGTAACCTGTGCAGACATAATCTCTGCCATGTAGTTGACATGTCTGGATGACATCAGCTATACTACTGTTGAGGCCATGGCTATCCAGGGTAGGCATTGCTGAAATTTTTGGTTAATGTGGTATGGTACCCGTAGCCAAAAACCATCAAAGCCATGTATAAATATTGCTATCTACCCTTTGCCAGTGTTGCAATGGACCATGTGTATGAGACTCTGTGTGTGGGGGAGTGTCTTGTCACCTCATGTTGATATCTATCCATGTAAGGTGTCGTGATGGACCCCGTCCCCCTCTTACCAGTGCTACTACGACCCCCAGCTATGTTTAAAATTCCATTTAAAAATGCCTGAAGCCACCCACGATTTCTCAGTAGAAGCTGCTTCATAGCCTCTTTACCTGTAGGTCAGGGGTAATTATGAAAGCTTTGCAGTAGAGATCATAGTGGCTCAGATCACTGTTTAGGGGACTGATAAAGCCAGGCCCAACTGACTTGGAATCGGTATAACTTTGTCTCGCCGTTGACCAGTAAATTAATGCCAAAAGCCTATGGGTTTTGTCGTGTTGGTCTCGTTTCTATGCACTTGGTTTTCCTCATCTACTGCTATGTGGAGGGTACGTGGTTAGGTGAATATGCTCTCAAGTCGTCCTTTGATCAAGCGTATTAACTGTGTGATGTAGAAGGCTGATTCTTCATCCTGATTATCTCTCCTGTCTCCTCAGTTCATAAGAAACCACTTCAGGAAGTGGAGATTGCTGCTATCACCCATGGTGCCTTGCAGGGGCTGGCCTACCTCCACTTTCACTCCCTGATCCATAGGTAAGTCCAGACCCCAGCTTCCTTTCCATCTCCCTTGCCCAGCTCCGTAGTCCAGGGACCGTGGGAATCAGCATGTGTTCCAGTTTTCTGCATCTGAGGAATTACAGGAAGTAAACAGATATCCCCCAGGCCCCTCCCACAGCTCAGCAAAGACAGCATCCCTCTGATGTTTGGGGGGGGGGGAGCTGTTTATTTGTTTGTGGGTGGTGGTTGTTATTTTTAGTTTAGGTGAGTTTTTTTTTTCCTGAAACAGGGTCTTACAATGTAGCCTAGGCTAACCCCAAATCACAATGTAGCCCAGGTGGATCTTGAACTCCATTTTCCAGCCTCAGCTTCCAAAGGGTTGACATTTTTGGTGTGCACTGCTGTGCCTGGCTTCACATGTAGGTAGCTGGCTCCTGATGTCAGAGAAATCTGAAGAAAGGTCCATCCATTTTTCCCCTCTGGGTCAGGAACTGAAGCCGGCTGGCTTCCCTGTGCAGAATAGCAGCCCAGCTGAGCCACTGCCTTCTCTTCTCCCATTCTGAGACTTCCTGTTTCTGAAGACTGTGTCAGGAAGGTTCTCAGCACATACATGGTAGCTCACAACTGCCTGTAACTAATGCCCTCTTCTGGACTCTATGGGCAACGCATGCACATGGTACACAACATGTAGGCAAAATGCTCATACACAAATAAATAAAGAAATAAATTTTTTAGAAAGGCTAGACTGGGGTATGTGTGGATTGGTACTAGAACATTTGCATAGCACATGTCCATCTCCAGCACCACAAAAAATAAATAAAACAGACAAAAAATGAACCAGTTATACCTGGTAAATAATGACTAAACCCATTTACCATGTAATCAATGATTTAGCAAATTTTTTGGGTATGTTTCCTTGAAGTCAAGGTATGATTACTAAATGCTGACTTGCTTGGAAGTTTGCTGTGTTTTATCTGAAACCACAGTTTAGTTTTATGTGTGTCTTTCTTACCTTAATCAGCATGGTACTTATGAACGAAACTGAGCCGACAAAAAAAATGTAATGGCCTCTAAATTTCAAAATGAAAGACAAGCATGGTGACATACACTTTTAATCCCAGCACTCAGGAGGCAGAGGCAGGAGGATTCCTGTGAGTTCAAGGCCAGCCTGGTCTATAGAGTGAACTCCAGGACATAGAGAAAACCTTTCTTAAAAGAGTACAGTGGTATATGCATATAATCTCAGCACTTGTGAAGTAGAGGCAGAGGAGCAGACATTCAAGGCCAACCTTGGCTACGTAAAGAGTTCAAGAGCAGCCTGGGCTATGTGGGATCCAGTCTTCAAATAAAACATGAACACCAATCATCTCATCTTTTTATTGCTGAGAGGGACTTTCCTCCCCACGCCCTTTTGTTGTGAGAGAATAAACAGCACGTTTGTTTTCATTTCTGACCTGTGTCATCTCGAGCAGGGAAACCTTGGAAGCATCTAAGCCTAATCGCTTTCTCTCCGTTTCCCAGGGGTTTCTTTCCACGGCCCATTTTCAGCTTGCTGTTGGTGGTTCCCGGTCCTCATTGTACGTCATTCATACCTTAGGAGAAAGAAGGGATCCGCCTCACCCTCTCATTCTAATCTCAAATGGTGTCTTTCCCCCTAACCTTTCACCACGCCTCAAATACCAAGCATCCTTAGTACAAACCAGCCACAACCCACCATTGCAATATCGAAATGCAAGTTCCTAACCCCTAATCCTTGTCTGTTTTGATCTTTCAGGGTCTTCTTTTTACTGTACAGTGTTATTTCTTAAATAACACCTTTTCTATAACCTGTACCTCCCATGCCTTAGAGTGGCAGTTACACTTACAGACAGAGAGAAAGGGTCACGGGCAAGACAGAACAGGTATGTGTCCAGCTGAGGAGCCCTGCGCAGGGCGGCGATGCAGGCATGGCAGGCAGATCTGGAAGGGAAACAGGCAGTTACAAATGGCACCAGTTTGCCCAGCACGAGGAATGGTGGTGGTGGTTGGCTAAAATGCTGAAGAACACGCTTTGTAAGGGTCGCCATCTGGGAGCTCTCCTTGCCTGGCATGGCTCCCTTTTCCCCTCGCTCTACCCCTCCCTCTGAAGACAGCGCTTCCTGGAAGCCCTTCCAGTGACCACCCAGGAATGCGGGCTCCCTTACAACATGCAGTGACAGCTGAGAAAAGTATGCTTTGTGTTCGTTTAAGAAACTTCGTATCGTGCTAATGCATGCTCTAGCCTCCTGCATAGTAAGAATGGAGAAGTTAACTCTCGAATGCTCCTCTTTTTCTCCTGTAGGGACGTTAAAGCTGGAAATATCCTCCTCACAGAACCAGGGCAGGTGAAACTGGCTGACTTTGGATCCGCCTCCATGAGTTCTCCTGCCAATTCCTTCGTGGGGACGCCATACTGGTACGTAGACATAGAAGATTTGATGTAGGCTGATGCACAGGTGTGAGTAGGGGGGCCACTTGGCATCCCCAGTGTGGTTTCTGCAGTGTTGGGGATTGAACCCAGGTCCTGGAGGATGCTGGGTTCCTGGGATCCTGGGAGGATGTTCAGCCCTTGAGCTGCTTCCCATCTCCTTTGTCTGGAAACAGTCTCACTACTTTGTTAGGATCCCAAGCTGATCTTGAGTATGCAATCCTCCTGCCTCAGACTGCCTTGGAGCTAAGCACGCAATCCTGCACTACCAGGCCTAGCCTTGTTTTGTCAACACAGTGTGTTACCAGCAAGGAATAGTGGTGCACACCTTTAATCCCTGCACTCAGGAGGCAAAAGTAGGTGGGTCTCTTCGAGTTTAACCAGTCTGGTCTACACAGTGAGTTCCAGGAAAGCCAGGGTTATAAAGAGAGAGACTATATTTAGAAGGGAGGGAGAGAGGGAGGGAGGAAGGGAGGGAGGGAGGGAGGAAGGAAGGAAGGAAGGAAGGAAGGAGGAAAAAGCTGTGTTCCTGATGTGCCCAGCCAGATTTCCTTTGAGAAGGTTGGAAACTGCACAGAGTGACCTTAAATTGCTCGAATGAGGCAGCTGGGTCTCCTTTGTGTGCTATCAATTTGCTGGGCTAGCTCTGTCTAAGGTTTCACTTGAGATCTCTTTTGAACTACTCCCTTGAGGCAGTGTGTTCGGGACAAGGGATCTTCTTTACAGCTTGCTGGCTACCTACCAAGCCAGGATGGAAGAAATCCAAGCTCCTGACTCTGCTGAGCTCTCTGACACTTCATCCACTTTGACGTCATTCTGACTCGGAGCTGTCCCCACCTTCCGTTCCAGATCACCTTTCCAAACGTTCACAGATGCATCGCCTTGTTATTGTAGCTTTGAAAAAGACACGCTCAGGAAAACCCGCTAAGAATAGCTGCTGTCTGACTGCCCCCTGACTGCCCCCTGTCGTAAGATAATGTTTACAAAGCCACTGCCGACACGGAATAGACCGGAGCACCATCCGAGACTAACTGAAGGCAGAGGGACCCCTCCCATCTAGGGCTCACCAGGGCGCCGTACAGGACCTGTTTTGTTCTGTCAGTTACAGTGTCGTTGGAGTAGCGGACCACGCTCCCTTATGCCGTCCTCCGAGATATTTTTCATGTCTCTTAGAGTGATTCATTTGTCTGTGTTCACAACAGACTAACCCTTTTTTTGCTTTTGTTTTTGTTTTCTGAGTCAGTCAGGGTTTCTCTATAGCTTTGGAGCCTGTCCTGGAACTAGCTCTGTAGACCAGGCTGGCCTTGAACTCACAGAGATCTGCCTGTCTCTGCCTCTGAGTGCTGAGATTAGAGGGGTGCACTACCATCACCTGGCCAAACTAACCCTTTACAGATCTCTGTGAGGTCCCTGTGACAGGTCTCTCCATTTCTTAGATGAAGAAGCAGATAGAACATAGTTAGTAACAGACTCAAGAGCAAACTGAGAGCAAAAGGCAGAGCCATGCTGTGTTGAAAATCGCGCAGCAGTCCCTAGAAGTCACCAGTGATGGCTGTGTTTTTAACAGTGTTCTTCCGAGTGGTTTGTGTAAGGAAAATTTGTCGGGAAAAAAAAATCTTCAACTTCTTAAATCAATTTTATAGCTGCTATACTAAATAGTAGGTTAAACTGGGCGGTGGTGGTGCACACCTTTAATTCCAGCACTCGGGAGGCAGAGGCAGGTGGATTCTCTGTGAGTTGAAGGGCAGCCTGGTCTACAGAGGAAAGGAAGGAAGAGAGAGAGAGAGAGAGAGTAAGTCATCATATTCTCTCATACCCCATGTCATGTTTTGTACTTTGTTCATCTCTATGTCCTCCATCCTGCCAGCCCACTGGTTCCCTCCCCCCACAGTTCCCTTTCTGCTTTCCTCACCTCCCTTCTTCTCTCCTGTATTTGTCTTTCTAGGTCTGGCTCATCTCCTTTAACATGATGACCCCCCAGTTCTATCCCACATCTTAATTGCTTTTCTATTGCTGTAATAAAACACCATGACCAAGGTGACTTATTTAAAAGTGTGTTTAATTTGGGGCTTTAATTTCAGAGGGTTAGAGCCTGTGACTGTCAGGGCAAGGAGCATGGCAGGAGGCAGGCAATTCATGGCAGCAGGAACATTTGAGAGCTTACATCTTAAGGCATAACCACAAGACAGAGAGAGAGAGAGAGAGAGAGAGAGAGAGAGAGAGAGAGAGAGACTAGGAAGGGCAAACTCCTTTGAAACCTCAAAGCCCACCCCCATTGACACTCCTCCTCTAACAAGACCACACCTTCTAATCCTTCCCAAATAGTTTCACCTGCTAAGGACCAAGTATAGGAGCCTACAGGGACCATTCTCATTCAAACCAGCACATCCCAGATGCCTCCATTGTGTACCTGAACCACGTTTTCCTTACTTATTTATCTGCTGATTGTCTAGGCTGGTTTCATTCTGTGACTCCTACAAATAACACCACAACAAACACTAAACCTTGAAACAGGGACTGGAGAAATGGGTCAGCTGCCAAAAGTACTTGTTCTTACAGAGGACCAAGGTTTGGTTCCCAGGGGGGGGAAAAAACTTTTAAATACCCTTAAAAATATTTTTGAATACCCTTAAATCTACTGTACCTAGTAGTTTTAAAATGGAAACTTTGTTTCTTCTGACAACTTGAGTTCTGCACATTGTGTTTGGCAGGATGGCCCCAGAGGTGATCTTGGCTATGGATGAAGGACAGTACGATGGGAAAGTTGACATCTGGTCACTCGGCATCACCTGTATAGAACTGGGTGAGTGGAAAGTAGTTTTCATTGGATCTTTGCAAATCGGTCCTCTTTACGCCCATCAGGTAACTTGTCTAGAACTCCCTCAGTGATTGATAGCTGTACAAAGGCCAGGCAAAGTGAATTTGTTGTAGATATTTCCCATGCTCTTATTGACCACGAAAGATTGCTCCTTCTCCGCTGTGTCTCCATGAAAAACAAGCCAGTAAGTGCTAGTGTTTGAGAAACACCCCTACTCTGTGTGACGTTGCACACCACAGTATGCCAATAAACTTAACAAACCAGGCTGTTGCTGGAGGGAAGGACCCAGGCAGGGTAGCCTTTGCATATTTCCCTAGTGTAAGCTACCATCGCTGTTCGCTAGATACGGGCCTGAGGATAAGGGGGGGCCATTAGGCTTCCTATACACCACAGGAAGATGGCCCAGGTTTAATCTGCCTTATCTAGAAACTTAAAACTAAATTTTTGAAAACTCTTCATCTAGTTTTTAAGATTTATATCTCTTTTAACTTAAATTCTTTTTTCCTGGTCTCCACATTGACCCTGTCAGAATTCCTGAGATGTCCTGTGGAGGAGACCTGGGACACTCAGCTGTTCCAGCACAACCTCTGCCTCTTCCAAAGGAAAAGATTAGGTGCATGATCTGTCTATCACTTTTCATCCAAGAGAGACTAGCAAAAAGGAAATGACTCAAGAGGGAAGACTAGAGTAGTTACTTATTTTTTTTCAATGAGGTCATATGTCCACGTAGTTTATAAATCAAAAAATTTAAGCCATGGGGTTGGAGAGATGGCTCAGGGAGGGGTTAAGGCCACTTGCTCTCTTCCAGAGGACCCATAATTCTGTTCCCAACACCCACTTTGGGACCCAGGGAATCCCATGCCCTCTTCTGGCCTCAGCAGGCACCTGCACTCACTTGGCATTTATGTGTATACCCAGACACTCACTCACACATCAGGCAAGGTGGTGTGCACATGTCCCAGCAGTTAGGAGACTCACGGGATCAGGAGTGACCGCCACTCTGTCACCCACTTCAGCACTGAGCCTAGCTGTACCTCAGTTTCTTCCCTTAGGAAACTGGAGAGTACACTTAGCTGCCAAGCTCCAGCGGGCATGATGTATGGCATCCGTGCCACACCTGAGGCAGTGAGTACCAGACATAGGACAGGAACTAAGCAACTCACAGCAGCTAGTGTTCCCTTTCAGCTCGGGCTGCCAACCATGTTTGTTCATAAGAAAACTTTGATTTTTTCAAGAAGCACTTATCCAAGAGTGGGGTGCCTTTGGGTCACCTCTCTTTTTCAAACAGAGTACAGCCCACGAGCTCTAATTTGGCACATCTAGGCAGAGCTGTTTGCGCAGTGACTCACTAAACTGACCTACCTCCCTAAACCCTGACCTTGGTTGGCACAGGGGGCACATCCACAAACATGGCACCATTTCTTTCAGTTAAACAGGAAATACACACACACACACATACATACATACACACACAGAGGATATATATAATTCTGGGCTGGGGACTCAGTCTGGTAGATACAGTGATTCCTACCCTGCAGAGAAACCAGGTTCAGATCCCCAGCATCGATGTGAATGTGGCTACCCACTTGTCATCCCAGAACTCCGGAGGAGCAAGGCGGCCGCTTAGACTAGCTGAAGCAGCAAGCTCTGGGCTCAAATGAGAGCCCCTGTAGAGTGCGATCAAGGCCTCCACACACGTACGATACACACGTCTACTCACACTCACACTATACACGAAAATACATGCACACCATACATATGCAGACACACATGCAAGTACTTCTGCACACATGTGAACACCATACATACACAGAGACCCACACATGCAAAAGAAAAAAATAAGGGCTCACAGATCCATGTCACAGGTACCACCAGTCCTTCCTGTGTGCTGTCTACAGCCGCATGCCACCCGCTGTGCCCCTCCAGTGCAGTGATGAGCTCCCTGGAAAGGACCAGATGATAAATATTCTAGACTCTGCAGGCCCTGCTGGGTATGTCTGCGCTGCTTGTACCTTCCCCACTGGAACAGGAAACACCCGTGGAAAACACGTCATTATACAGAAGTGGGCTGCCGGCTGACTCTGGCCTTGGCTCTGTGGTGTTCTGTCTCAGTGACAAGCCCTGTCACTGTGGCTATGAGGCTGGTTTGCTTGCTTGCTTGCTTGCTTGCTTGTTTGCTTGCTCGCTCTGTGCGGCCCAGACTGTTCTAGAACCTGAGATCTTCTTGTTTTAGCCTGTCTCGTGCTGACATTACAGCCTTCAGCACCAGGCTTGGGCATAGTAATTTCATCTGGTAAAGAATTCATACATGGACCAGACCCTTCAAATCCAGTGTTTGAGGATGGCCCCAGGCTCTGGCTTCTCTACTACGGCCATTTCCCCACCAGTTGAGGATTGGCTGTCATGGCTTGTCCCCAGGCACATTGCTTGCTCCTCCTGGGCCCCCATTTAGGCTTCAAGTCTGAGCTGCTGCTGTCTACACTAATGCTGAGTTTTGGTTTCTGTTTTCTCTTCTGAGACAGGGTCTCATATAGCCCAGGCTGGACTGGAAATCACCATGTAACATAGGATGACCACGAACCTCTAATCCCTCCTGTGTCCACCTCTCAAGTGCTAGGATTACAAACATGATGACCACACCTGGTTTGCGCAGTGTGGGGATTGAATCCAATGCTTCACATGTGGTAGACAAGCCCTCTGTCAATTGATCTACAACCCCACTTCCAACATCCTTTCTTAATGTCTGTTTTCTTTGTCCAGCCCCCTTTTCACTGCTTCTCCTATTCAAGCTCCTCTGGGCAACCTGGGTTGTTTTGCATTTTGCTGGGAAGGAGAGTTACCTCGTTCTCTTATGGTGAGCCTATCACATGGTATCTGACTTCAGCCCCAAGAGACTTTGGTCTCTCTTCATTATTTTTCTATGCCTGTTTGCCACACAGAGATTCGTTTTTCATATTTTTAACAATTTTAATATAGATAAATAAAGAATTATCTATTTGTGGGGGGTGGAGAAAGTGCTTTAAGGGCCACGGCACATAGTGGAGGTTAGAAGGAAGCTGTCAGAGTCATTTCTCTTCTTCCACCATCTGGACCCAGGGACTGAACCCAGGTCTTCAGGTTTAGCAGCAATTAGGGTAGATGCTGAACCATCTCAGCAGCTCACACAAAGATTCCCTGTGGATACAGTTCTTTGCATTAGGTTGCCCCTTATTAATTTATTTAGCAGGTTTTGTGGGGACTATGTCCCAAAGTGAGTCCTCAACCCTGGAAAGAGTAAAGAACAAAATGACTATCATGAACATCGCCACTGCCCCTGCTGTGAGGGACACAAAATAGTGAGAGTTGTAATGTGTGGCCAAAAACGCAGCAAATATATAGTCTGCGGTGACAAAAGTCACAGAAGGCTTCACTGAGGACGTGGCCATTCGCATAGCCCTTGATAAATATGCTTTAGATTCCTGCAGAAACAAGATGAGGTCTCATTAGTTCCTCTTCTCACTGACATGACCAAATTGCTGATAGGAAACAACCTAGGGAAGAGTTAGCACTCACAGATTGAGGGGACATATTCCATGGGGAGGTGTGGCCAAGGGCGCTTAAATCAGCTCCTTACAGTGTTTCCACTGTCAGGAAGCAAGAGCTGACTGACAGGAAGTGGGGCGGAGCTATAAAAATCCCAAGACCTTCTCTCAGTGACTCCCTCCCTCCAGCGAGGACCACCTCCAGGAGGTTCCACAGCCCTCAAGAACAGCACCACTGCCTGAGGGACCCTGTCTTCAAGCATGCCACTAACACATCAGTGGGCCTGGCCTCCAGGTTCTCCCAGCATCCCTCAGTCCCTGCCTGTTGCAGGGTGTGACTGGTATACCTATCCTCTACTCTGAACTCTTGAGCCTAACGGCTGGGCTGCCCTTCCTCCAGAGGCTCTTCCCTATAGAATTCAGACATTTTGGTTACTTGTTCTTAGTACTTTTGGCCTCCTGGCTGCTGCACCTGGTTCCCCGCTCTCCCCACACAGCCCAGCTCAGCCCAGACATGTCCTCTCTGGATTCTCCCACGTGTCCCTGCCTCTGACTGTGTTCTCCCTTTTAACTACAATCAACTTTCTCCTCCCCCATACCTAGGAGCAACCATGACATTTGCTTTCTTCTTTCTTTCTTTCTTTCTTTCTTTCACTCATCCATGAGCCCATGGAGGCGTTTTATATTCAAGCCACAGCAGGATTGATAAGAATTAGCCAGAGCTGAGACAGGGACACGCATGTTCTCAGCTGCACAGGAGACAGGCAGGGACACGCATGTTCTCAGCTGCACAGGAGACAGACAGGGACACGCATGTTCTCAGCTGCACAGGAGACAGGCAGGGACACACATGTTCTCAGCTGCACAGGAGACAGACAAGAGAACCATTGAGCCCTGGAGTTTCAGATCAACTTGAGCAACATAGCAAGACTTCATCATTTTTTTTTAAACTAAAACATAGGGTAGTGGTAGTACACGCCTTTGATCCCAGTACTAGGGAGTCAGAGGCAGGTCTCTGAGTTTGAGGCCAGCCTGGTCTATAGAGTGAGTTCCAGGACAACTGAAAGCTTACACAGAGAAACCCTATCTCAAAAACAAAACAAAACAAAAAAACAAAAACAAAAACAAAAAAAAAACCACAAAGGGGGCGGGAAGAATTAACTTGATAAGGTTAAAATCTAGACTAAAAACATCCATGTGCTTGATTGCTTCAGTGAAGCCAGAGATGGTTTGAGAGAGGGGAACGAGCCCATGATATTCTCGGAAGGCAGGCTAGTGGAGGTCTGTAGGCTCTGCTGAGTGATCCAAACTTAGTGTAGGAAGGAATGGGAAGCCGCTTGTGTCTACAGGTTCCTAGTTCCATGTGTCTTAAAACCTTGATGTCCCCAAAAGACTGTGCTCTACAAATTCCTTGAGTCCACTTCCTGAAACACAGCTCAAACCACTTCTGTCTGTCCTCTGAGCTTAAAACCTCTATCCACACTGCTTCTGCTCGGACCAGTTCACCCACCAGCTACCAGTTTCAACCAGTTTCTACTTGATGTATGTAAACAGTCTGCTCCAGCACGGTGATACATGTGTGATCTCTGTGACTAGGGAGGCCAACCAGCTAGGACTGTGCCAGAGACCCTCGAGAGAGAAGGGTAGGAGAGAAGGAAGGGGCAGGAAAGGGAGGAAGGAAGCTGTGCAGGACCCTGAAGGACCCTCCAGAGGCGTCTGCAGCCATCATCCAGCAAAGACTCACAGAGGACCGTAATCAAAGTGCATTCTGAGACCAAGAAGGAATAAATGTTTTTTAAAAGACAAAGAAGTCACTCCAAATCATCACCTTCTTTTCTTTTTTTTTTTAATTTATTTATTTATTAAGGATTTCTGCCTCGTCCCCACAACCGCTTCCCATTTCCCTCCCCCTCCCCCGATCAAGTCCCCCTCCCTCATCTGCTCGAAGAGCAATCAGGGTTCCCTGACCTGTGGGAAGCCCAAGGACTGCCCACCTCTATCCAGGTCTCGTAAAAGTGGTTTTTTTTTTTTATTTGTCTTTCTATTTATTTTGGAGACAAGGTTTTACTATGTATCCCTGGCTATGCTTGAACTCACTATTTAAAACAGCCTGGCCTCTGGGCTAAGAAAGACCCTAGCTCTAAATAAGAACATAATAAATGTTTGTTACACTCTACAATAAGTTTTTTTCTTTGTAAAAGAGATTTATTTTATATGTATAAATATTTTTGCCTGTGCCGTATTTATTTTGCTATGTCCATGCAATGCCCAGAAGAGGGCATCAGATCCCCTGGAGCTAGAGTTAATGTATAGTTGTGAAGAAACATCTTATAGGTGCTGAGAACCGAACCCGGGTCCTCTGGAAGAGCAGCCAGTGCTCTTAACCACTGAGCTGTCTCTCCAGCCCCTCCATTCCATAATAATGTATTTTTGTGCTACTTTTCTTTGCTTTCTGATTTCATTTAATGAATATGTATTTTTAATTAAAATATACACACACGTATTCATACCTTGTCATTGGAAAACAGGCCAACACCAATCTATGCAGAACCCATGAAAAATAAGGACATTTTATCCCATTATTCTGAAACGGGTTCTGCTGGGAACTTTCCGATGGACAGTGAGTGACCGGCAGCCAGCAAGTGGCTCAATTGAGCTGACCCTAAGAGTACAAAGAGCAAATGGTGTCTCATTGGTTAATAGTCCTGATTTTACTACCTACCTTAGTTCTTTCGTGAATATCTTACCTTGGTTCCTCCCTCTTCCAGCCGAGCGGAAGCCCCCCCTCTTCAACATGAACGCCATGAGCGCCCTCTACCACATCGCCCAAAATGACTCCCCCACGCTACAGTCCAGAGAATGGTAAGACGTTGCCAAGAAATCACTGTGGATATCTGACATGCTTATTAAACTACATGTTACAGGTCTGCCCTAAAACACTATTGCATCCTTCCTTCCATCACAGCAATAGTAAGACTGATGTCCCACGAACAGTGTACCTTTGTATATGTATGCATGCACACACACACACACACACACACACACGTACACATTCACACACAGGCACGCGCACACACATGCACACACATGCACACACACGCACACACACGCACACACACGCACACACATGTACACATGCGCGCGCACAGGCGCGCACACACATGCACACATACACACACACATGCACACACACACACACACTGGGAACATATGCCCTGCTACCTCCCTTCCACACCTCATCCCTTAGGTCCTGCTATCTCATCCGTAGTTCTTAGCAGCTGAGAGGCCCTGGCTGATATCATTGTCTCTGTGTTATCAGAATGGGCTGGGACAGAACATGTTACTCTCTGTCCAGAAGATGTGTCATTCACGGCCCAAAACCATGGCACGTTTGTAATTCTTGGGGCCACAAGAGTCACAGAGAATGAGCCATCTGACAAGAGTGGACACAAATGAAGCCTCCAAGAGAGGACTTAGTTTTATTCAGAAAGTGCATTTCCAGGTTCTCTGCCCCCGTGCGCTTTTATGTTTACTCTTTAGAGATCGCGCATTCTTTATTCCCACTTTGCTACTCCATGCAGAATGCGCATCAGGGGTGTGATATCTCTGATCACATACAAGTATGGTGTTTTTGTTTTCTGATCTAGTTTGTGATTTGGCCTATCCTCACTTATGGGTATGACTGCATCGAATAGCTGGGACAGTGTCCACCTCATTATCCAGAAGAATTCATTTTTACTGCCATAACTTGAAAATGGTCTCGGTCCCCTGATATTTCAAAATGTCATATGAAAAGGAATCTCCTGGCTGGGGAGATGGCCCAGTCATCAAAGTCTTGTTGTGTATACAAAAAGATGTGAATCCAGAGCCGGGTGGTGGCGCACGCCTTTAATCCCAGCACTCGGGAGGCAGAGGCAGGCAGATCTCTGGGAGTTCGAGGCCAGCCTGGTCTACAAGAGCTAGTTCCAGGACAGGAACCAAAAGCTACGGAGAAACCCTGTCTTGAAAAATCAAAAAAAAAAAAAAAAGATGTGAATCCTATCCCCAGAACCAATGCAGAAGCTGGGCCCCAAAATTCCAGGGTGGGGAGATGAAGGAATCTCTGGGGCATACTGGCCAGCTGGTCTAACCAAATCAGTGAGCTCCAGGTTCAGTGAGAGACCCTGCCTCAAAAATAAGGTGGAGGGTGGCTGTGAGAGACACTTGATATCAACCTCTGGCCTTTCACACATGCACAGACGCGAATGCACACACTCACGCACACACACACGCATATGTGCACACACTTACACACAGCATGCACCTACACAGTCTCCCAAGTTGCACAGAGCTCCCTCCCGTTCACTTTGCCTTCCGTATGCTGCGTGTCCCACGGTCCCTCACAACTCTCCTTGCTGTGTCCCCTCACACAGGACCGACTCCTTCAGGAGATTCGTTGATTACTGCTTGCAAAAAATACCTCAGGAGAGACCAGCTGCGGTGGAACTGTTACGGGTAATTTTTCTAGTTTCCATCTGTGCAGGGGCCACAAAGCGTGGCCATGGGGCAGTTGGTCAGTTACTCCATGGCCGAGCTCTGATGCGCTGGCTTATGGCAAGTTACTAACTCAAAGATGAAAACAGGCATAAAAATGGGACGGTTCTCAGGATCCACGTCCTTCCTGCCGTTCCCCGCCACTCCCGTGGGTAGTGTTTGTCTCCCACCTTCCTGCTTTGTCTTAGTACGGTTTCTCCTCCCTGCACTGCTTGCTGTCTCAGGGATTTGCTGACCGAACTTGAATTGAGCTCTCAGGATAATCTGACCAAAACACCAGTGCCAGCTCTGAAAATCTCAGTTAGGTCAGCGTCAGCTCCAGGCAGTGAAGGTGTAGGGTGACAATCTAAAAACAGATGCTCGGGGGCTGGAGAGATGGCTCAGTGGTTAAGAGCATTGCCTGCTCTTCCAAAGGTTCTGAGTTCAACTCCCAGCAACCACATGGTGGCTCACAACCATCTGTAATGAGGTCTGGTGCTTTCTTCTGGCCTGCAGACATACACACAGACAGAATAATGTATACATAATAAATAAATATTTTTAAAAAAATAATAAATAAAATAAAAACAGATGCTCGGGTGGTACAGTTGAGCTCCAAGAGGCCATGGTGGCATGCCTGTGAACCTACCACATGCGCAGTCTGATCTTCTGATCCTCCTGTCTCCACCTCCCGGCACTGGTGTTGTAGAAATATACTATAACCACACCCAGCTCCGGAGGTAGAGGCAAGAGCATCAGTAGTTCAAGGCCAGCCTTGGCTACCTGAGAGCCTATCTCAAACAACAACAAAAAGTTTCCATTCTGTAATGTTTTTCTTTTACTTTTCTTTGACTTCTTTTTTTATGAATATGCACTGGTTTGATTTGAACCTCACAGTCCTGAGCCTATCTTTGGATGTTGCATGTTGATTTCATGTGATGTTGCTGTGGTTCATCAACATTTGTGTAGTAGATGGGAATCTGTCATAGTGTGAACATTTCCTGCTTGGCGTAGAATAATCCCGATCTCTACCCTTTTATGTGTGCATGCTTATTCAGTTCTGTTGCGTGTTTCACCTTCAGAATGGATTCTTTTATGAGCAGTTTTGTTTGTTGGTTTGTTTATGAAAAAACCCAGAAGGGTTGTATGACTCAAATGTATCAGGCCTAAAACAGTGGCAGCTGCGGGCCTGGAGAGACAGCTCAGTGGTTCAGAGTGCTGGCTGCTCTTGTGAGGATGGGGTTCAGTTCCCAGTACCCACCCAGCAGCTCACACCTGTGACTCCAGTTCCAGGGCATCCAGCACCCCCTTTTGGCCTCTGCAGGCACTGCACATACATGTAGTGCACAGACATACGTATGTGCAGGCAAAACACCCCACACACAAAGTAAGTTGTAAACATTCACACATACAAAATAAAAATAAATGCATTTTTGACTGGGGAGATGACCCTATAGTAAGAGCACTTGCTGTACAAGTGTGACGTCCCGAGTTCTGATCTCAGCACCCACATGAAAAGCAGGGCAGGGCTACATGCGCCTATAACCTCGGTGTTGTTGGGGGCAGAGACAGGAGGGACACTAAGGCTTTCTGACCAACCACCATCCTAGCTCCATATTTAATAAGAGACACTGCTTCAAAGGAATAATACAGGAAGTGGTAGAGCAAGACACCCGACATCCTCCCTAACCTCCTCCTGTGCACACATATCACACACACACGGACACACAGAATGGTTCTTGTGTGATGCTACTGTGACAACATGAACAGTGGGCTACTCACTGCAGTCAGGATCTGAGGACAGATCAAAGTCCAACCTGGTGAGCCATGAGTTTTCCCTGGGTACTTACAGCAGCAGAAATGACTCAAAGACCGCGGCAACACCAAAGCCCACCCCAGCGCAGGTGACAGGTCACCAAAGCTCGATACCTGGAGCATGCGGTACAGCCTACAGGCAACTCAATAGACCAGAGAGTGTCCTCTCCAGGTACCTCAACTGGTCTGAGAGTAACCCTCAGCAGTCCGTACTGTGGACATATGCTTGGGGAGGGAAGGCTAATGAATCTGGTCAGCTTCAGGGACTTCCTGAGGCCTTTGAGTTGTTTCCTCCCTGAGTTTAAGGAGCTTCCCTGTAGAATGGAGTGTTTCACCTCTGCTTAGAACATGCTGCTGTTCTTGGAAGACTTTAACCTAAGAGGAAGCAGCTATGCAGAGGGCTGATCCCAGGGCCTGGTGAGTGCTGGGAAAGTGGGCAGCTGTGCATGCTGGAAGTGGGAGCTATGCAGCCGCTCCCAGCCTCTACCCCCTTACATAGATCTTAGGTGGGAATGCACACCACCAGACTGCCCTGGAGTCCACGGCCTCCCTGGCCAAGTGTGAGCATTTGAATTGCACTGCTTAGATTGATGAAAAAAAAAATGTTTCTGGTTGTGGCTTTAGTGGTTTTTGGTCTTTTTGTTCTGGATTTTTTTTTAGGATTTTTTTCAACTTTGGGTTGTTTTCATTTGGTTTGGAGGTCTTGGGTAATGTTAAAGGTCAAAGCCAGGGCCTCACCCCATAAGGCCAGCACTGTGTCTACAGAGCTGCACACACAGGCAAACACACACGCACACATGCAAGCCCCTCTGGATATAGTTTTTTTTTTAAGATTTATTTATTTATTTATTATGTATACAGTATTCTTGGTATTCTGTCTGCAGGCCAGAAGAGGGTACCAGATCTCATTACAGATGGTTGTGAGCCACCATGTGGTTGCTGGGAATTGAACTCAGGACCTCTGAAAGAGCAGTCAGTGCTCTTAACCACTGAGCCATCTCTCCAGCCCTTGAGCCATCTCTCCAGCTCCTGGATATAGTTTTAAGTTTTATTTCTCATCACTTAGACAAGTCTCTTCCCTAAGCTGCAGCACCATTTCTGTCTCCTGCTCTATGTCCTCTCTGATCATGGCCACTTGTCTATTAGGTGTTGATTTTTTCCTTCACTAATGCATAATGAATCTTGGAAACATCTTTTTTTCTTTCTTTCCTTCTTTCACTCTAGCGTTCTTTTTTAAATTAAAACGTCTTTAATTGAAATAAAAGTGATTACATCACGTTCACCACATCCTGTCCTCCCACAAGCTTCCTCCCTCAAACCCCTCATATTCCCCAACCTCAAGTTGACAGGCTTTTTTATTATTCTTATTACAGATGTATGTTGTAGATAGATGATAGATAGATAGATAGATAGATAGATAGATAGATAGATAGATAGATATGTGTGTGCACGCACGCACAAATATATAAAAATATAACCTGCTGAGTCTATTTTTGTTTGTGGTGTATAGTTTGCAGGCTGATCACTCTGCCTTAGACAACCACTGATGGACTCGTCCCCGGGAGAGGCTAATTCTCCTTCTCCCAGTAGTCAGCTGTTGCCTGCAGTTCTTTGTCCAGGGATAAGACCTCACGAGAGATTTCTCTCTTCCATGGTAGCATGTCCCTTCATATTGCCATTGTTCTGGTCTTGTCCGTGCAGCCTTTTCTAGGAGAGACTGTCTCACAAGAGACTTCCTGGTTGGTGTTCTGCCTCTTCCAGTCTTCCCCCCTCTCTTCCATGGTGTTCCCTGAGCCATAGATGCAGGAGCTATGATGTGGATATAGAAGTTGGGACTTAGGTGCCCGTTTCTATGGATGTCTGCATTCTGTACAGTTGTAGTTTCCTGTGATGAGGGATGGCACTCACCGTTATCTGTGGGTACAAGGAGAAGATTTAGACTATGGTAAAGAGTTACACTGGCCTGGCGAAGTGTCGCTAGGACTTCATTACCCCCAGGCTAGGTTTCTAGCCCCAGGCATGGTTGCCCCCTGCCGAGTGGGCCTTAGGGCAAATTGGACAGCTGTTGGTTGCCACCAATGCGTGAGTGCCACTTCTTAGGCCATAAAGGTGTAATATCCTGCCACTCTGGTGATTGTCATGGTTCCTATGTGCTAAGTCATAGGTGCAGCTGGCTAGGCCTGTTTAATTGCTTCCTTCTGTTGGCACTTACATAATAATTTCTGGAATCACAGAAGCTAGGTCACAGGAAAGAGACACTCAGTTCAGTTTCAGCTCAAATGACATGATTCTGGAGTCCTGAGTGTGTGGTGTCTTCAGCAATAGAGGTCTACCCTCAACCCTTGAGAGGCAACCTAGGGCTATGTATATAATCTATATTGTTTTGGGAGTCACTAAGACTACCCTGCTCGACTGTTATAAAGAAGGTTTCTTGTGCCTAGAACTGGGACTTTTGTTAACCCCAGAATCAACTATAAAAATCAGTAGGCCTTTATGTCTACCAAGAACAAGCAGACTGAGGAAGAGATCATGGACACACTTCAAAAAATAACATCAAAAAAAGAGTTTCTGAGTAAACCTAACCAAGGATGTGAAAGACCTCTGCAATAAGAGCTTCGGGTCTCAGGACTAGAGAGGTGGCTGGACACATAGTTGAGAATACAAGGTTCAGGAGCCTGGTGTGGTGGCACACGCCTTAAGCCCGGCACTCAGGAGGCAGGCACAGGCGGATCTCTGAGTTCGAGGCCAGCCTGGTCTACAAAGCAAGTCCTAGGACAGTCAATGATACACAGAGAAGCCCCTTCTTGAAAAATCAAAACAAAACAAAAAACCAAAAAAGATCATAAGCTGCTTTTCTAGAGGACCTGGGTTTGCTCCCCAGCATCCACATGGTGGTTCACAGCTGTCCCACTTAGTCCCCGACACATAAAATAAAGAAAAAAAAAAACTTCAAATCTCTGAAAAAAGAAATTAAGAAAGACACTAGAAAATGCAGATATTTTTTGATAAGCCATCTTTTCCTCATATTTTCTTCCTGGTATTAAAATGTCACATTTACATTGAATAATTTAAATATAGAACTAAGGTAAAAATTATCAAAATGTTTGAAAAGCACAATGTGATATGATAAATAGTGGCAAAATTAAAAGAAGAAATAAATAAAAAGAAGTGGAGAAAACTAGGACCAGGAAGCATCAATCAGTGTATTAATGTTCCTATTTTTCAGATAAAATATAGTGTTTTGATACAGGTAACCCCACTCTCTTAAGCCTTGTGTGATTTTCCTCTTTGTTTTTTTTTAAATATTTATTTATTTATTATGTATACAATATTCTGTCTGTATGCCTGAAGGCCAGAAGAGGGCGCCAGACCTCTTTACAGATGGTTGTGAGCCACCATGTGGTTGCTGGGAATTGAACTCAGGACCTTTGGGAGAGCAGGCAATGCTCTTAACGGCTGAGCCATCTCTCCAGCCCCCCTCTTTATTTTTTGACATGTTTCATTACACTGACATGTTTAGACATATTTACCTTGAGAGAGAATTGTGCACATGAGCACGCGTGCCCCAGCACATATCGCCTGCTCTCCGCTCTTCCACTGTGTGAGTCCCAGCTGTCACACCTAGGTCATCATCAGTCCTGATGGCAGTCATCTTTACCCATTGACCCATCTTGCTAATCCTCTCCTTAATTTAACTACACTCATTTACTTACTGATTTGTTTATTTATTAAAGATCACATTTGTACCCAGGTTGTTTCATTTTTTTAATTTTTAAAATTAAAATATAATTACATAATTTCCCCTCTTCCCTTCCCTCCTTCCAGTCCTTGCCCTCACAGGGTTTTCTCTCAAATTCATGAATCTCCTTAATTTTAAAGGAAGATTTAGGAACAGATAATGCTGGTAGTGAAAAAAATTATAACTCAAATGAAGCAATTTCTTTATTGCACTCTCTTCTAATTCTGTTCAGTTCATGTACATCTTCGGCTTTATAGATAATACTTAAATTAGAATCTATGATATGGTTCCCATTTGAATTTTTTTTAAAAAAAAGTTTTTGTTCTGGGGTGGGGAGGAATTGATAAGACCTAAATTGACCTCCTAAATTTTACAATATTTTCTTCTAGATGATGGAATTTGGAATTCTCTTGTTTACTTTCCTTTAGCCATTTTTCTATATTATTTGAATCTTTAAACATTGTAAAGAACAATAAGGTTGTTTTATTATTTTGTTGTTGTTTGAGACAGGGTCTCAATATGTAGCTTTGCTTGGCCAGGTACTCACTGTGTAGACTAGATTGGCCTTAAACTCACAGAGACCTTCCTGCCTCTGCCTCCCAAATGCTGGGATTACAAACATGAGCCAGCCTGTCTTTCAAATTACTCTCTTAAAGGACCTTTTGACTGCAGGGGTATGGAGAGCAATGAGGGTGTGAGCGTGCAGACAGAATATGAGCAAAACACAGGCATGGCAGCTGCAGGACCAGGGCCAGCCATCCTCTAGATTGCGCTGTGCACAGGAAGGACCAGTCTGGAATTAAAGCAGGAGTCCAGTGAGACCGTCCTTACGCAGTAGACAGAGAGATGCACCTAAGGCATTGAGGGCCTCTGTGTTTCAGATGCATACTCAGGTGAGGGCTGACTCATCTCATACTGTGAGGTCTGGGATGTTGAGACAGAGGTACCCCTCACATCCGACGTGTGACTCAGCATCATCACTCTCAACCCCAGACACTCTTCCTGCCTTCTCCACAGCTTGTGTCCCTTGTCTTCTCTGGTGCAAAATGACCGCCACAACTCCAGGACTCAGGTCTTTATTCCAGACCAGGAAGGAGATCGTCAGGCAAAAGACAAAACACTTTTCTTTCCTTACACATCTTGCCTTTTGATCTCAAAAAGAAACCTCAGAAGCTTCTGCCTGTGTGTGCTCGGCTGCTGTTCACTACCAATAGTGAGAGAGGATGGGGCAGGGTGCAGCCTCTCAGAGACCCTGATCCCTTGCTTTTGTCTGTCCAGTTCTTTAGTGGGTGAGAGCCCACAGGAGCCCTGGCCGCTGATAGACTGAAGAGCTGCCATGTTTCTTGTCTCAATCGTATGACCAGTAAGCAGTCCATGCAGCATTCCTCACTGTGTGTCTGACAGAAAGAGAAAACAAGGCTGGTGAGAGGCAGAGGCTGAATGAAATGTGGCAGGGATAGTTCGTCCCCTCTCAGCTTTGGAAGGGACAGATCCGTCTATCGTTACTTACGGTTCTTGAGATTAGTGGTTTTTTGCGGATTTTGTTTGTTTTGTTTTAGGTGTATGAGTGGTCGCCTTCATGTATATATGTGCACTATGTGCACCCTGTGACCACAAAGACCAGAAAAGGGCATCAGATCCCCTAGAACCCGAGTACAGATGGTTGTGAGCCATCGTGCGGATGCTGGGAACTGAACTCAGGTCCACTAGAACAGTAGCCGGTGCTCCCAACCACTAAGACATCTCTACAGTCCTAAGTTCTAGTGATTTTTTATTACATTGTTTATGATAAAATAAATCTTAGGGGATAATATTATTCAAGAGCAAAGGGAATATTTTGTTAATTGATGTGACGATTGTGGAAATCAGTGTGGAGTTTCCTAAGAAAACTACAAACACCACCAATAACAAAAGGCTGTTTTTGACCCAACATACCCTCCTCCAAGTTCATATCTATAAGAAATGGAATTCATTATTTTGTGAAGCTATCTGCATCCCATAAGTACTATAGCACTACCCCTAGAAACCAAGGTATGGAAACAATCCCACATGTCCATCAATGGGATAAAAGATGAGGGAACTGTGATACGCGCACACACACACACACACACACACACACACACACACACACACATACACAATACAGTTGCTTTTTTAGCCTGGGAATAGGAGTTCCAGCCAGACATGGTGCTACACAACTGTAAGCTCAACACTTGGGAGTGGAGGCAGGAAATCAGAGGGCTACATAATGAGTTCAAGGCCAGCCTGGACCACAGGAGACCCTATCTCAGAGGAGAAGAGAAGAGGAGAGAGAGAGAGAGAGAGAGAGATTCTATGATATGTGACAACATGGATGATTCTGTACGGCGTTCTACAAGTAAGAGAAACCAGATATACAGAGAAAGGCACCAAACAACATTGTGTACCTGCAGAATTTGCATGGCTTTTTAAAATCAAAGATACAGATTAAAAAGGAGAAAGATAGTTTCAGAGATGGAAATGAGATTTGGGCCTGATGGTGCAGTACGGGCTTGCCACCAAGACTGAAGATCTGAGTTTAACCCTCAGGGCCCACATGGTAGAAGGAGAGAACTGGCTCCAGCAGGTTGTCCTCTGGCCTGGACACTTGTGTGTACACATACAAATAAATATGTAAAAGAAAATTGGGAGGCTGAGGTTTCAGCCCAGTGTTTTACTTATACAATACCCTCAGTATTGAGACCTAAGGTCAGACCTGAAAAAAACGTAGATGTCATGCAAATTTTGAAGACAGTGAGGTTTAGGCACCTTTGCTACATACAGGAGAATGGGAAATGATGGTGTAGTAACTGCCTTCTATTACTTCACCAAAGTAATCACCAAAGCATCACGTTGTATACCATAAATATATATAATTAAAAAGAGAAACTGTCTTAGACAGAGTCTCATGGTGTAGCTCTGGCTGGCCTAGAACTCACTATGTAAATCAGGTTGGCCTCCAACTCACAGAGACAGAGAGAGACCCCTTGCTTATGCTTCCCAAGTGTTGGGATTAAAATTGTTTACTACCCTGCTTAACAAAACAAAAACTAACAAACAAAAAGTTTCTTGTGGAGTCCTTAGAGCCGAGTCTGCAAAGGGGAGCCTGGGACAGAATGTAGAAGCATTGTTATCTTTTTAAGAGAGAGTCCCCATGAGGGACACCAGCCTCAAGATCACATTTAATTCTAAGGTCTGTGAACCTGTTCCCTCTTCCCTGCCTACTTATATGGATACATTGCTCATGAAGATAAGGCTTGCTCACCATCTATGTTTCCTCCCCTGTCAATCAGCACGACTTCATTCGGAGGGAGCGGCCACCACGGGTCCTCATTGACCTCATACAGAGGACAAAAGATGCTGTTCGAGAGTTGGACAACCTGCAATACAGAAAAATGAAGAAGATTCTCTTCCAGGAGACTCGAAATGGACCCTTGAATGAGTCACAAGAGGAAGAAGAGGTAGGTCCCCCCAGTTTCAGCTAGGACACTTTGGAGAATGAGGGCAGAATAGGTGTTCTCTCCCCTGAGGAAGACTCAAAGAGGGACAGAGACACAAAGGCAGCAATTCTTACTAAGGCAGATGTGAAAAGAGCTTGGCGTCCAGCAGGGGTCAGGGGTATCATGGGGTGGAGTAGGCATTCATGAATGGGCACAGCATGAATTTTTAAATGTATTTTTATTTGAGAATTCCACACATGCATACAAAGCCTTTTGGTCGCATTCAGCCCCTGTTCCCCCTCCAGCTCTTTCAAGACCATCCTACCTACTCTTAGTTAGGGTTTCTGTTGCCATAAAGAGACACCATGACCACGGCAACTCTTATAAAGGAAAGTATTTAATTGGGTATCTCACTTACAGTTCAGAAGTTTAGTTCATAATCTTCATGGGGAAAGTATGGCAGTGTACAGGCAGACAAGGTGCTAGAGCTGAGAGTCATCACATCTTGATCCAAAGGCAACAGGAAGTGAACCTACTCACTGGATGTGGCTTGAGCATAGGAGACCTCAAAGCTCACCTCCACAGTAGCACACTTCCTCCAACAAGGCTACACCTACTCCATCAAGGCACACCTCCTAATAGTGCCACCCCCTTTGGGAGCCATTTTCTTTCAAAACACCACATTCCACTCCCTGGTCCCCAAAAACTTGTATCCATATAATAATGCAAAAATGCATTTGGTCCAGCTTCAAAAGTCCCCATGGTCTATAACATTCTCAAACTTATTTAAAAATCTAAAGTTTAAAATCTCTTTTGAGACTTATGGAGATCTCTTAACTGTAATCCCCTGTAAAAATCAAAATCAAAAAGCAGATAACATACTTCCTACATATTAATGACACCGGATATACATTATCACTTCAAAACGTAGGGAAGAGAACATAGTGAGAAAATACAGGATCAAAGCAAGACCAAAACCAGCTGGGCAAACTCCAAACTCTGCATCTCTATGTCTGATATCAAAACACTCCTCAGATCTCCAACTCCTTCCAGGTCTGTGGACTGTAACATACTTCTGTCTCTTGGGCTGGTTCCACTCCATTAGCTACTCTCCTCAGCAGGTATCCCATGGCTCTGGCATCTCCAACATCTTGGGTTCTCCAAGGCAATCCAGGCTTCACCTTCACTCAATGGCCTCTCTAGGCCTCTGTTCAGGGACATGCTGACACATGCCTGGTCTCATCAGTGTTCCTTAGTTATGGAGGAAGATTTTATAACCCCTTTCTTCTATCCTTGAAGCCAGAACCATGTGGCCAAAGCTGCTTACAGGGGCTGGAAAATGGTCCCCTTGATCAAGTAGATCTTTACCAGCTTCTGGTTTTCCATGATTTCCTGCACTGCCTAAACTTGGCTGTTTAGGAACTTGCTCTGTAGACCAAGGTGACCTCAAACTCAGCTGCCAGCCTCAGCCTTGCCTTCCCAGTGATGAGATTAGAGACTGTACCACCACACCTGGCTCCAAGCTTTTCTTTAATTCCTTTTCACAAGTTGGAAATTTAGCTGGGTGGGATCTTGCCCTGAGGTCACCACTCCCTCTATTCCATTTCTTAATCCATTTATCTCCTTGAACACAGGATTTTAGCTCTAATTCTAATTCCTGGTGCCCGTTTTCTCATTTTATATTTTTATTTGCTCAGCTTGCTCCTTTTCATTATGAATCTTCATTAGGGTTAATACTAATAACCAAATGACAAAGTCTACACTAGGCTGTTTTGAGATTTCCTCTGCCAGTGGAATTATTTCAGAACTCTTCACTTTAGCCTCAGGTAGACTCTTCATACAAGGACAAAAAGCAGCCATATTCTTAAGAAAATATCATAAGACCAGTCTCTAGGTCATACTAACATTCTTCTCTGAAACCTCTTGATCGTCACAGTTCAAATCATTCTCAGCACCATTATCTTTCATGTTCCTACTAGTATGGCCCATTAACCACTGCTTTCCTAGCCTAAAATACCAAAATCCAAATTCCTCCAAACAAACACATGGTTAGGCCTATCATAGCAGTACCCCAGTCTCTGGTACCAACTTCTGTCTTAGAATTTCTATTGCTGTAAAGAGATACCATGACCACAGCAACTCTTATAAAGGAAAATATTAAATTGAGGAGGTGATATACAGTTTCGGAGGTTTAGTCTACTAACATCATGGTGGGGAGCATGGAGGCATGCATGCAGACATGGTGCTGGAGAAGGAACTGCTGCATCTTGATATGCAGGCAACAGGAAGTAGACTAAGACACTGGGCTGTATCTTGAGCATATATAAGACTCAAAGCCCACCCCCTAGTGACACACTTCCTCCAGGGAGACCACACCTACTCCAACAAGGCCACACTTCCTAAGAGTGCCACTCCCTTGGGGGGCCATTTTCTTTCAAACCACCACACACCCCTAAATTCCCAATTTCACATCTCTCTTTTTTCCTTTTGATCTACTCCATCTAATTAATGCTGCCTATGTATACATCAGTATAAGGTGATCCACTGGAGCTCATCAACCTTCCAGGGGTCACATCATAAAACTGACTCTTTCCCCCAGCAGCCTTCCGCTGTCAGTAACTCTCAGCTGGTGGTGAGGCTGTGCCCCTCCTCCATCCAGGGCTTGGTCCATTTTAGACTCAGGTAAGCTCTGTGCTTGGGAGGACCATCCTGGTTGCAGCCACCAGTCCACTCGTGAGTTAAGAGGTGAGGGTTGGGTCCCTAGGAATAGGAAAAGGTAGACTTGCTAACATGTGGCTCTCAATGAAAGAGAAAGTGATGGAAGTGGGGTTTAAGGATAACAAGGAGGCCACTTGTTCGTTTCCCTGCCGCCCAACAGCTCAGACCAGAAAGAACCACACAGAAACGGTATTAATTAAATCACTGCTTGGCCTATTTGCTCTAGCTTCTTATTGGCTAGCTCTTACATATTATGTTAACCCATCTCCGTTAATCTGTATGTCGCCACAAGGCTGTGGCTTACCAGGTAAACTTCTGGTGTCTGACTCCTGAGGGGCTACATGTCTTCTCACTGACTCTGCCTTCTTTTTCCCAGCATTCAGTTTAGTTTTCCCCGCCTAGCTCTACTCTACCCCATCAGGCCAAGACAGTTTCTTTATTAACCAATGGTATTCACCGCATACAGAGGGGAATCCCACACCATAAGGGGACTAAACAACTTGAACATGTGTGGCCTGAAAGTGTGTGAGCTTCAGGGAATGGCTGGGCATGGCAGTACATGCCTACCATCCCAGCACTTAAAGGCAGAGGCAGGAGGATTGTGGATTTGGGGCCTGCTTGAGAGAATAAGGGTGGGTTGAGGTTATTCAGGGGTCTCTTGACACCATGTACATATGAGTTTTCAAAGGAAAGATGACTTTCTGGCCTTTCACCAGCTAAAAGAATTGGATGAGAGCCAGTTAGATGGTTCAGCTGACAAAGGTCTGTGCTGTCAGCCTGAGTTAGACCTCTCAGGCCCACATGGTGGAAGGAGAGAACAACTCCTGAAATTATCCTCTGACCCCCACAAGGCCACCATAGCGCATGTGCTGTGGCATACGCATACACACGTGTACACATACGTACATACACACACACGATAAACTTAGAAAAATAACCAAATAGTGAGGAAGTCAGTGTTATTTTTTAACTTTCAATGAAACAATTATTTTATCAATAAAAAATTCAAAAAATAAAAATTGAACTATAAAAATCTCTTAATCAGTATAGACAATTAATATCCCACTAATTGAGAAAATGAATGCATTAAAATGTGACATATTAATAGTAGGGTGTGGAAGCATGAGTCTTTAATCCCAACACTAGGGAGGCAGAAGCAGGCTGATTTCTGTGCATTCAAGGCTAACTTGGTCTAAAGATCGATTTCCAGGCCAGCCCTGACTACATACTGAGGCCCTGTCTTAGTGACAGTGTCCTTTGCTTTACAGAAGCTTCTCAGTCTCAGGAGGTCCCATTTATTCAATGATGCCCTTAGTGTCTGTGCTGCTGGGGTTATACGTAGGAAGTGGTCTCCTGTGCCCATGTGCTGTAGAGTACTTCCAACTTTCTCTTCTATCAGGTTCAGTGTGTTCGGACTGATATTGAGGTCTTTAATCCATTTGGACTTGAGTTTTGTGCATGGTGATAGATAGGGATCTATTTTCATTCTTCTACAGATTGACATCCAGTTTTGCCAGCACAATTTGTTGAAGATGCTCTCTTTTTTCCATTGTATACTTTTAGTTCCTTTATCGAAAATCAGGTGTTCATAGGTTTGTGGGTTAAAGTCAGGGTCTTCTATTCGATTCCATTGGTCGACTTCTCTGTTTTTATGCCAATACCAAGCTGTTTTCAATACTGTAGCTCTGTAATAGAGTTTGAAGTCAGGGATGGTAATGCCTCCAGACAATCCTTTATTGTATAAGATTGTTTTGGCTATCCTGGGTTTTTTGTTTTTCCATATAAAGTTGATTATTGTCTTCTCCAGATCTGTGAAGAATTTTAATGGGATTTTGATGGGGATTACATTGAATCTATAGATTGCTTTTGGTAGAATTGCCATTTTTACTATGTTGATCCTCCCAATCTAAGAGCAGGGGAGGTCCTTCCATTTTCTGGTGTCCTCTTCAATTTCTTTCTTCAAAGACTTAAAGTTCTTGTCAAATAGATCTTTCACTTCCTTGGTCAGAGTTACCCCAAGATATTTTATGCTATTTGTGGCTATCGTGAAAGGTGATGCTTCTCTGATTTCCCTCTCTGCTTCCTTATCCTTAGTGTATAGGAAGGCAACTGATTTTTTTGAGTTGATCTTGTATCCTGCCACATTACTAAAGGTGTTTATCAGTTGTAGGAGATCTTTGGTAGAGTTTTTGGGGTCGCTTATGTATACTATCATATCATCTGCAAATAACGAAAGCTTAACTTCTTCCTTTCCAATACGAATCCCCTTGATCCCTTTATGTTGTCTTATTGCTATTGCTAGAACTTCAAGCACTATATTGAGGTATGGAGAGAGTGGACATCCTTATTGTGTTCCTGATTTTAGTGGGATGGCTTTATGTTTTTCTCCGTTTAATTTAATGTTAGCTGTCGGCTTGCTGTAAATAGCTTTTATTGTTTTTTGTTTTTTGATACAGGGTTTCTCTGTGGCTTTGGAGCCTGTCCTGGAACTAGCTCTGTAGACCAGGCTGATCTCGAACTCACAGAGATCCGCCTGCCTCTGCCTCCCGAGTGCTGGGATTAAAGGCGTGCGCCACCATCGCCCAGCTGTCTACATTTTGTATCACTGAGTGATCACTTGTATCCTCATGTCTCCGTAGCAATTTACTGTCTGTTTGTGTACAGTAGGGTTTGAAAATAGGGCTTCTTTGTAACTAAATTGACTTAGTGAATTTAATCCTGTTGGGGAGGAGCCTCTTGTATGATCATAACTGCTGACTTCACACTTTCACCCCGTCCACTGTTAGTCTCTGTCCTGACAGGAGTAGGTACCAATATTATTTCACAGAGATTCTTAATGAGATCACCGAGGAAATCATGACAGAGTTGCTTAAGGGAGACAGGATTTAATTACCTAGCTCGGACAGTAGAGTTTATCCCCCACCTCATGCAGTTATGCACTAAGGTCCTGCAGGGGAGCACGCACACCACTGTCCCCTCTAAAGAGCTTCTCCACTGCACGCCAGTTCAGGATCATCAGTTTGGTGTCCTCAGTGTCGCCACTTGGCATTCCCAGAGAACCCGCCTGGACTCATGACACATACTGGGAGCAATCCCACAGTGTCGTGGTCATGTGTGTTGGGGGAAGCCCTGGGATGGTAGCATTTGGAGACTTGAGACCCATAAGCAGAGTGGCCCCGGGGAGGCAGGAAGTGAGTGTGAGATGTCTGGTCATGGTAGAGTGTCCCCAAAGATCCTCCATTTAAAAGATGACAAGCGAGGCATAGGGACCTCAGTTCCATCCCCAGAACCCATAGTTTTTTTTAAAGCCAGGAATCTTAGCGCCTGTTTACAAATAGCTCTAGGGAGGCAGAAAACAGGAAGATCCTGGAGCTCATTGGCCAGCCAGTCTAACCTACTTAGTGAGCTCCAACCAGAAAGACCCTGTCACAAAATTCAAGGTGAATGGCTCTTTGTGATCAACACTCAGGGTTGACCTGTGTCTACTATTCATGTGTACACACACACACACACACACACACACACTTGATCTTTGCACACCAACAAAAGAGCAGTTTGCTGCTGCAGATTTAATGCTCAGTGGCCCAGCCAGTAGGTCAGCACTTGATCTCCAGGTATTTTGGTTTTGAATCCCAGTGCCCATTTTTACAGGACAGTGAACACGGAAGCAACCTGAACAGGGAGGTGGACAGCTTGGGCAGCATCCACTCTATCCCCAGCGTGTCAGTGAGCACAGGCAGCCGGAGCAGCAGTGTGAACAGCATGCAGGAGGTCATGGACGAGAGCAGCTCTGAGCTCGTCATGATGCAGGAAGATGATGGCACTATCAACTCCAGCTCCTCCATGGTACACAAGAAGGTAGGTATCACAGGGCCCTCACAAGCCAGGGTCGGGTGGCCCCAGCAAAGCCAGGTCAGGACATGCTGCTTTCAGGAGGGTGGGTTTCCTCTTTGCAACCAAAGCAGGGAATGAAAAGAACAGGAAGAAGACTTCTGATGGATTGGCAGAAGACCCTGTTGGCTGCACCTCTCGGTTTCACCATCTCTCGTTGTTCTGATAGCTGGCACCATCCAGCAGAATGGTAAAGAAATTACTAATATTAATATACTGAGCATATTAGCACAGTGTCTAGAATCCTAGCCTCTGAAAGGCTGAGGCGGGGGATTGCCAGAAGTTCAAGACTGCCCTGTGGTACATTGAAAATAGTAGGCCAACCTGGACTACAGAGTGAAATTCTGTCTCAAGGAAGAAGGAAGGAAGGAAGGAAGGAAGGAAGGAAAGAAAAGAAAAGAAAAACAAACAAAAAATGGACTGGAGAGATTGCTCAGAGGTTAAAAGTACTGGTTACTCTTCCATAGGACCTGGGTTCGATTCCCGGCACCAACATAGTGGCTCACAACCATCTGTAACTTTAATCAGGTGGTTCTGACACCTTCTTCTGGCCGCAGACACCAGACATGCACAATACATATGCAAGTAAAACACCTATACCCATAAATAAATAAATTTTTGAAAAAGAAAAAAGAAAGAAAGTTGAGTGTGGTGGCGCACGCCTTTAATCCCAGCACTCAGGAGGCAGAGGCAGGTGGATCTCTGTGAGTTCGAGGCCAGCCTGGTCTACATAGTGAGTTCCAGGACAGCTAGAGCTACACAGAGAAACCCTGCCTTGAAAGAAAAAAAAAAACAAACGGAAGAAGAGGAGGGGGGCTGGAGAGATGGCTCAGAGGTTAAGAGCACTGACTGCTCTTCCAGAGGTCCTGAGTTCAATTCCCAGCAACCACATGGTGGCTCACAACCATCTGTAATGAGATCTGGTGCCCTCTTCTGGCATACAAGCATACATAGAAGGAATGCTGTATATATAATAAATAAATAAATCTTTAAAAAAAAAAAGAAGAGGAGGAGGAGGAGGAGGAGGAGGAGGAGGAGGAAGAAGAAGAAGAAGAAGAAGAAGAAGAAGAAGAAGAAGAAGAAGAAGAAGAGGAAGGGAGGAAAACAGGAAGGTCAAAGCTGTCCCTGGCACCTCACAGAGGAAAGCAGCTCATCCTTACAGAGGAAAAGATCCCCTGTAAAGCAGTGACCTCCACACCTCAGGCATTAGACTCAAGAGGCTAAGACTGGAGGATGGCAAGTCCAAGGCTTTTCAGGGCTACGGAGTGAGTGCCAAGATCAACAGCTTGCCTTGTCTCAAAATGAAAAGCCGAAGACAAAACAGCAACAGAATTTATTGTTTTTTCTCTTCTCCTAAGGCTCTCTACCAGCTAACTACAGTTACAGAGTTTGTTTGTTTGTTTGTTTGTTTGTTTTGTGGGTAGGGCACACATGTGCATGATCAGAGCACATGGGGATCAGAGGAAAGCATGCAGAAGCTGATTCTGTCTTTCCCCCATGGGGCGTGGTGGCAGGCAAGCTAGCTTATCCTGTTGACTATTTTGACCTCTGAATGAATGGTTCTGATTAAGGATGTCTGTCCTAGTTTCTTTCTGTTGCTGTGATAAACTCCAAGACCCACAGCAACCTGGGGAGCTCTCAGATCACACCCCATCTCTGATGCAAGTCAGGGGAGGAACTCAAGAGCTGAACCTGGAGGCAAGAGCTGATGCGGGAACCACAGAAGGATGCTGCTTACTGGCTCGCTCCCCATAACTTGCTCAGCCTGCTTTCTTATAGCATCCAGGACTACCAGCCCAGGACTAGCACTGCCCACGATGGGCGGAGCCCTAACGCACAGACTTGTCTGTGGGCCAGTCTGATGGGGGCGGTTTGTCAATTGTTGTGGTGACAAAAACCTAGCCAGCAGGATGCTCATTTTATACAAACCTACCATAAAGTTAAAACTTTTAATGAGAACCGTTGAAGGTTTGCTTACTTCAGAGTCATTGTTCTGACTTGAGGTCAGCCTTCCACAGTAGAAAATTAGAGAGAAAGGTCACTTGTCACTTAAGATTTTATTTATTTTATTTCATGTATATGAAGTGCCGCATGTATTGTCTGCATGCATGTATATATGTAACATGTGCATGCAGTACACATGGAAACCAGATGCTTGACCCTCCTGGAACTGGAGTCGTAGGTCATTATGGATAATGGGAACAGAATAAGGGTCCTCTGCAAAAGCAGCGAGTGTTCTTAACCTTTTGTGCCCACGCATGCTCACGCACACACGGTTATTTTTTTTTTTAAAGTATCTAAGCCATTTGTGTGTAGTGTTCTTGCAAAATTTGTTCTGGGTAACAGGAAGATTTACTCAACTAGGGAAACAATGGCTGTGTCCCCTCAGAGCTATCCAAGCTGGGCAAATTAGCCAGGGCTAGATGCTTGCTCCTGCCTGAGCCATCGAATGTGGACAGGGAGGGGCGCGCACCAGCTGCACTCACTCACAGTGGGCTCCGCTCCCACTGACACAAGAAAGAGGAAGACAATCCAGATTGTGATTTCCTGTAACAGTCCCATTTGCCCGGGTTGTGTCCACAGTCTCAGGAAAGCCTGTTCTAGTCCTTGTCCCGTTGTCCTAATTGTTTTCTTTATAGTATCTGCCAGTGTATAAAATTACATTATGCACCAGGTTTAGTGGAAGCCTTTCATCCCTCTGCCATCCCCGCATCCGAGAGGCTGCCATGGCACAGTCACGGGATCAAGTCCTGCCTGGCTGCACAGGAAGACCCCGTCTCAAAACCAAACAGAGCGCTCACTGGCTAAGAGCACTGATCCCAGCACCCACATGACAACTCACAACCATCTATAATTCCAGCTTCAGGGGATCCAACCACCTCTTCTGGACTTTAAGAGCGCCTTCACATACATAGTGCACATAAACTCATACAAGCAAACACACATGAACAAAATCTAAAAAGAATAAGACAGAGCGCTTAGGATATAGCTCAGTAGTGTACGCTTGCCTTGCATGTGCAAGGTCCTGGGTACAATACCCAACATCAGAAAAAAACATATTTATGTATTATAACATATATGTATATATGTATCAATCCAGCTCCAAGGAAAGTGGAGATCTTCTTCTGGCTTCTGAGGGCCGCAGCACACATGTGGCATGTGCAGGCACACACCCACACACACACATAAATAAAACTGTCAATCCTTAGAACATGCACACATGTGTAATAGATTAACTTATCTACCATCTATGAATGGAACGTAAATTTTCCCACTTGTCTGGGACAAGGTAGACTGTCCGTAAATGCATACCACGTGAGGGAGTAAGTGACAAGTTCAGAGCCAGACACACAACAGCATTACGGTCAGGGGTGTGAAACACAAATTCAAGGAGTAGACATCTCCAGTATCGCCTTTAAGACTTGAAGAAGCTACCTGAGTAGAGTTTGTCTGCTAACACCTAAGAAGCAGTAACATGCTTGACACCAAATACAAGAAAATCCTTACAACCAAGCAGAACGTGCGGTGCTCTGACCATAGGCGGAGGACAGATTCCTGTTCTGTGCAGAACGTGAGGTGCTCTGACCATAGGCAGAGGACAGATTCCCGATCTGTGCAGATCGTGCAGTGCTCTGACCATAGGCAGAGGACAGATTCCCATTCTGTGCTGCACTTGATCTTGGCCAGAGGTCGAAAAGTGACCTACCTGTCATCTTGGAAGATGACCATTCTATCAAACTCACGTTTTAAAAATTCCTAAATATGCATTGATTATAGTTGCGTTATTTACATATGCACATGTATTTAAATACATGCAAATGAATCTCAAGAATGGGATGTTAAAATAATGAATTCCAATTCATTTTAATTGTTGGTAAAACAATTGAAAAACTCAAAATTTAAAAGGTTGTTTACTGACCACAAGAATATTTGTGTCACTTCTAGTAATTGATCACTTCTTTAGTATACCCTGCTTTAGTATATATTCTCTGGACTCCTTTTCCTGTGCAAAGTAATGGATTTGGTTATGGCATTTTTACTCATATGTGTCACTAATATGTTCTGGTCTTTTGTGTCCCATGTAGAACCTATGTACAGGCCATGGGTGTGAACTCATTCCTGTGAAATTTACTATATATGTCTGTGTCTGTGTGTGCATGTGCACACGTGCGCTGCACACCAGAACGCATATGTGGAGGTCAAAGGACAGGTTTCCATCAGTTCTTCCCTTCCACCATGTGGGTCATCAGGCTCAGCAGCAAGTGCCTTTACCTGCAGAGCCATCCCACCAACCCTGTTGCCCTCTTTGAAAACCAGAGAACAGCTTTCCCCAATGTTTTGAGAGGGTAGGGTGTCCTCAGTGCCCTTTGCTCCTTAGCCCGGCCGTTCTGCAGTGCAGAGGGCCCGCGTCGCCGCTGCTGCTTCCTCTCACATGCAGCAGAGAGGAAAGGAAGGAATGACGCTGCAGGAGTGTCCTGCAGTCATGGCTTTGTCCTCAGCCTGCTCCTCGCCATCTTCCCTCCCTAGCTTTCTGGTTCAGATCCACCTTTCCCTTCCAGCTCCATCTAGCAGCCTCAGAAACCAGGTCTGATGGCGGGCGCACCTTTAATCCCAGCACTGGGGAGGCTGAGGCCTGGGGATCTCTGTGAGTCTGAAGCCAGCTTGCTTTACATACTGAGTTCCAGGCAAGTGCGGGCTACACAGAGAGACCCGTGTCTCAACAGAGCAAGCGTGGTATTTTGAAGTGAGCAGATGAGGCACGGTGAGCTTGCTGGCCCCTCATCCACAGACAGGTCAGGGAGGGTACCTGTAGAGACCCGGTCAGAGAAAAGCTGCTTCGGGTCACACCCATGGGTTGTGTCACCTGGGTCACCATGTAGAGCTTCTGGCACAACAGAGTAACAGACTTCAATGAATTACAAATATGAATTCTGTTAAATAACCCAAGAGAAAACGTCATTTTCTCATAATCTCCTCAGACATATCCTAGACATGTGGCCATAAGGTAGTTCTGTCCTGGGTAAAGCTTCCGTCTAAATAAAAGCAGTGTCTTAGGGGTGCAAATGTAGTTCCATTGATGGAGTGCTTACCAGCAAGCACAGATCCCCAGGATCCATTGCCAGCTCATACGTGTCATCTTGGAAGGGGTAATGGCAGAGACAGGAGAACCCCAGGGTTTGCTGGCTGGCCCATCTGAATGCCTAGGTCAGCGAGAGACCCTGCCTCAAAAACCACGGTTGGAAACAATAGAGGAAGACACCACTGTTGACCTCTGGCTTCCATGCGTGCTGGCATGCAACACGCACACACACACACATGCATGCACATGCATACACACATGCACACACACACATGTGCACACACATGGTAATTCCAGGACATAAGTGTTCCTCTTGTGTGATATATTTCACTCTTTTATATAAAAATGTAATTCTTTTTTTTTAAAAAAAGGCAATGGTGTAATTTTTACCTGCCTGTAATTTTAATACTCAGGATGCTGAGGCAGGAAGATTGCAGATTCAAGCCAGTCCGAGCTACAAAGCAAAAAATTTAATAAACCATACAATTTAAGGAAAAGCAAATTTGTCACATAGACTGTAAGAGGGCACTGAGCAGGCAGTAGCTGGAATTCTGCCCACAGGTCAACGTCAGTTTTTTTTAATCTAAGGAAATATTTCTGTTGTGTTTTCCAATGAGCACACGTGTAGATTTGCCAGATTAAAATACATGGACTTAAAATGGGTCCCTAATCCCAAAGAAATTTCAAGGCACTATTTCATGTGTTGCTGAATAATAATAGCCCATTATTTTTTATTTATTTAGTGTACTTGCACATGTGTGTATGTGTGTGTGCCACAGTGTTTGTTAAGCACAAGTTTTGACACTTGGGAGGCAAGTACCACTCCCCACTGAGCCTGCCTCTCCAGCCCCAACAATGACATTTTAAAGGTAAATCCCCACCAAGACACATATTTGGTCTTGGTAGAGCACAGCGTGGTGTTTGCCCTTCGTCTCACAGAAACATTCCTCAGAGACGGCAGCCCTCAGCCACTCATGGGCGCTAGCCGGCTCTCACTGCTACTGCGTTAACTGACCCTTCAGTGGCTACTCCGAAATCGTGCCCAACTCAGAAACTGTGAGCACCACATACAGCAGGTAAACCCTGCGGGCCTGAGACTTGAAGGGACAGCGAAGGTGACGCACCACTGTGTTTGGGTTTCAGGTCCCAAGACACATTCTCCTTATTTTTAAATAGCTCATTAATTGGATTGGGGAACTTCACCCTTTTTTAATCCAGTGAGATCGAATGTTTGAACATTTTTTCCTTGGGCCTGGGAATGTCATTCAGTGTTAAAGCGAATGGTTGCCCAAAAAGACAAAATACAAGAAAGCCAGATATATATGGCCACCCCTTTAATCCCAGGACTCATCAGAGGCGGATGGATCTCTGAGTTCCAGGCCAGTCATAGCAAGACCTTGTCTCAAAATAAGTAAATAAATAAAATATAAACAAACAGACTTCCTTCCCTGCTGCGCAGAAAGTGGGCGTGGCCTGTGTTAGGATGGCTCACGGCCCTGACATGTGGCCGCTCTCATACTAGATCAGAGATGGTGACCTAGTGCCAAGCCGCCCAGCAAATCTAAGACTTCTCTTCCAAACAGTGGGGCCAGTGTGCTGGCTCAGTGGGTAAGAGCACTGGCTGCCAAGCCTGACGACCTGAGTTCAATCCCCGGGGCCCACAGTGTGGAAGGTGAGAACTGACTCCTGAAGTTGCCCTCTGACCTTACACACGTGCCATAGCATGTACACACACACACACACACACACACACGTAAATAAATAAATGTAATTCTTAAAAGGAGGTAAGGATAAAGCAAAGGTTCACATATGTTTTAGATAAAGGAATTTGTATTTAAAGTAAATTAAAATTCTGGACCTTGTCTTTGAACTAAAGTGACATCCTAGCTTTTTTTTCTCTTTCTCTAAGACAGGTTTCACACTGTGTGCAGCACTTCTAGCACATACATTGGTGGGTTATTTAACGTGTCAATAACAATAAAAAGTGATGTCAGATTTTAGCTTTCAGAATGTATTCCAATTTCCATACATTTAGCACACACATAAAAAAATCTGTGACTTTTAATTTGATAATCAGGGTCCTAAACCTAAAATATTTTGCTTGTTTGGTTGCAGATTTTTTATTTATAATTTTTTGTTTGCTTGTTTTGTTTTGTTGAGTTAGAGGCTTACTAATGTAGCTCAGGCTGGCCCCAAACTACCCTGTCTCCTTAACCTCCTGAATGCTGGGATTATAGGCACATACATCACCACACCCTGGGATCTAGTTTTATTACATATGGATATTTGTGAATGGTTTTTGTTTTGTTTTGTGATGTGAGCACTGTGGCTTCTGGTGCCACTGGCTGTCTTTGCGCGTGAAGTCACCACCACTTGGATGTCACTGCTTCCACCACTCACCCCAGGTTCTCTCTCAGTGGAACTTCTTAATTGTCACCAAAACCAGGTGGCATCAGAAAGTTCCATGCTTCTCTGAAGCTGTTGTGTTAAGTAAGTTCAATTTTTGATATGGTGTGGTTTCATTAGTACATACATGAAGATAAGGAGCCTGAGGCCCACTGCAGGGTCCCAGTCACATGTCTTTGTGCCATACGAAGTTCAGACTTCCCAGGAAGTAATGCGAAATAATTTAAAATGATCCTTCAAGCATTTTTACATAAGTTTTAAAATATCCATGTTAAAAGGTTTTTTTTTAATTATTTCAGGAGAGGTCGGGGCTCTCACTACACTACCCACAGTGACCTCAAACTTGCAATTTCTCCCACTTCCCTAGTGTGTTGGAGTGCGGGTGTGTGTGTGTGTGTGTTGGGTGGCAATTGTAGGTGTACACAAGTTACCCCGCTTAAGAAACACATTGTTTTTTCATTTATTTATTATTGTTGTGGCTTTTTACATCAAAACCTGGTTATAACATTTCATGTCCCTCAAAAAAAAACCTACACATTTTGATTTTTTTGAAAATTTCAGAGATAAAGGTTTGTATTTTCTGAGTCTCTTTGGATCTTGCTTTGTAATGAAGGGAAGGGCAATTACATGGTTTTTAAATTTTTGAGGTACTCCTGGAGAAAATGCAAACCAGTTATTTCTCCTAAAACGCTGGGGAATAAGAAATTGATTTCTCCTCCCCCATCTGAGCATGAGCTATTTAAAAGCCCCCCACCATTGAACATGATTTTGAACTACAGATTGCCAGAGTACTATGTGGGGGGGTAAATTTTCTAAAGGTTGCTGACTGACTGACCAGCTCATCTTGTACAGAGGGCGGGCCACGGTCCTCTGAAAACATTTTCCCTTTCCAAATCATTTCAGTTGCATTTAAGGAACATCCATTATTATCCATCCAGGGCATGTTATTTTTTTTCCACGGGGCGTTAAAATGAGATTAATCATCTTTGGCCATCAAGAAAGCACAGAACTCGATTAAATCAGTCAAGGACATTAAATCCCAGCCTCGCTCAGTCTGCTGGCATGCCAGTTGAGGGACCATTTGTGAAAGTATCATTTGGTTTGGAATTGTATGCCTGTCTCTTTAAATCTAAAAAAAAAAAAAAAGAAAGAAAAAAATCCTTTCAGAAGCTGTAGAGAGAAGGTGCTAGAACTGTGTACGATCATGACTGGAAAGCAGGATCCCTCAGTGACTGCCGAATCTTCCCAGCACAAGACAGAGAGGCGGCTCGCCACAAGCCTCCCCTGATCGCCCCCACCCCCAGAAGAAGGATGACCCCACCGACCAGCTCACAGATCCAATTCAATTGACAACGCAGCTCTTTCAGGGGAATGAGGCGGAGGCTCGCTTTTATGTTAAAAGCCACCAGCATCCTCCCCGCCAGACATGGACATGACATTTTTAAAGGAATTATCTGGTCACCGCGTTTTAAGCAGACTGTGCTGAAGCGTCCGTCCGCGCCATTCTCTCTCCTCTTCCTTTTCGCTTTTGCATATATGTAATTCCGGAGGTAAAGGGGGGAAAAAGCCTGCCAGGGAGTCAGAAGGCATCCCACGAGCGATCAGCTGACATTCCTAACCGAAGGCTGCAATGTGTTGCTTATTCATTTTATACCGTGGGAGCTGCGGGGACTAGCAGAGAGCTGAACTATGCATTTCAAACAGCGGTGCTTGTTCAGAAAGAGGGGTGAGAGAGAGGCAGCCGGCGAGGAAAGAGCGCAGCTGGACTTTCTCCTTCTCTTCATCCATTTCTGCAGGATCATGTATTCGTAAGGGATGAGGCGGGCCACGGCGATCCCAGGCCTGAGCCGCGGCCTACCCAGTCAGTTCAGAGCCGGGCCCTCCACTATCGGAACCGAGAGCGCTTTGCCACGATCAAATCCGCGTCTTTGGTAAGCCGATACTGCTCTCCCCACCTTCCCTGTCTTCCCCTCCTCCCTGTCTGGCAGCCTCTGGCCCTCCCTGAGCCTCCCTCAGCTTCATGGATGGGAGGAAAAGCAGCCAGAGATGTTGTCTCCCTCCAAATAATTTTATTCATTTTAGGGGGAAAAAAATCTGTTGGCATAGCAACCTGATCTCAGATGTTTAGCATTGTCTATTGCATAAAAAAAAACCTTTGTGTGTGTGTGTGTGTGTGTGTGTGTGTGTCTGTGTGTGTCTGTGTGTATGCTGTATATGCAAAATATAAGGCTTTGGAATGAGTTGCTGGCATGAACAATTTTTTTAAGCGATCTCTGTTTTAATCAAAATAAATAATGCTAAAAATATTTTTTTCAAGGTATGGATGTGTGCAGGGCACTATGCTTCTTTTTATATAGGTGCATGTGTGTCTATGATACACACACACGTCAAAAGGTAAAACACGATTTAAAATTTATATATATATATATATATATATATATATATATATATTTGCCGGCCACCATCTGTAATTGTAGAAAAATCAAACACTTGCTTCCCAAGGATAGTCCACTGGTTCGTTCTGATTCATTCATTTAGTTATTGCAATGGTGGTAGTGGCCGAGCTTCCCCCATTTAACCCCTGAAGAATTTCCTGAGAGCCATAAAGCAAGGAGGCCTTTGTAGCGGGGGCTGGCAGCAGCTGTGGGAGCTGAGGGGCTGTCTGATTCCTCAGCTTTTCTACTACCGCGAATGTGATTGCCGGGTGCCCTTGTAGTAGCAAAAGGGGTGTGCGCAGGAAGACTTAGTTTTCATGCCTCCTCCCCTTGGCCCCCCACGCGTGCGCGTGCGCGCTGTCACATACACACACACACACACACACACACACACACGCACATCCCCCCTCCATTTCATCCTTAGCATTTGGACCTCTCTGCTTTTCCACCTGAATCTCACTTCTCAGGCAGGAAAATTATTGAAATATTAGTTGTTTTGCCCAAATGGATGTTAGAGGTCACATGAGCGGGAAGAGTTACTGTACACTGCTTGGCCGTTACATCCAGAACCCATGATGACATCATCCAAGGCCGACCCAGAAATAATCATTTTTTCTTGTCCTATTTTTCAAACCTGATTTCTACTTTTATCCCCCACCCCATCAAGTCTGTTTTTAAAGGCTCCAGCGATGTTTGAAATTGAGAAGAATTATAGTCTTTGAGAGAGCAAATAGAAGGAAAATGGTGGTGAAAGCAGCAGTCTATTGCTTATGCCTATTCCGTGTCAGAAAAAAAAATCACAGTTTAACATAGTCTGTTCATAAAGAATTCCACTCCCGAGTTCTTTTATGTTGAAGTTTCTTGTAACCTCTTTAATGGGCAATTTTTCATCTGATAGGAGATCTCAAAATGTCCACTCTGTGGCTGCTGATGCTTGGTAAGCATCTCAGAAACCTGCCTGTGAATTCGATAGAACATGGTGGGGCTGTCAGTAGTGGCCTCCGTGCCACAGTGTCTGACAAGAAACCTGTGACTGCTCACCACAGGCTGCTGTGGGCTCGTCCCTTCAGCCCCCACCTGCTCCGGAGGAGCCCTAGCAGCAGGGGCAGGCGCTGCAGGGAGGCGTACCCTCGCCCCAGCGGTTCCCCCATTGTGGGACAGATATCTGCTTTCTCTCAAACCACGCCCTCCTTCCCACATCATATATTCATGACTCTCTCCTCCCGCCCTTCATTACTACAGCCATGCCGGTAGAGTCTCATGCCAGGCTCTGAAAACTCTCTCCAGGGCCGCTCAGCATGGGCTTCAGCCATCACAGCCGCCTTCTCAGTGGCTAATAGAAGCGGCTTCCCTGCCAGGCCACTTCAGGCTGTGGGCAGAGCCCTCGGAAGCCTCCCTGAAGCCTACAGGCTTCAGAGTAACCCAACCCACATCCCGTGCAGGGAACCGCTGGAGTCCATCCTTCTGGTGGACTTCTGATTCGTCAAGAGGTCTCTACTCCAATACCTACTGAGAGACCCAGAGGCCTGGGTTTGGGTGGGGCGGCTGGTCTTCTAGGACACAGAGACCGGTGCACAGGCTCTCCAGATGGGGCACTCTCAGAGTCATGATGGTATCCTTGGAAGTTCTTCTGAGGATCTGGTAAATTTTGAGGAAGAAAAATAAATGAATGAAGGGCAGATGGGGTCTAGCATTGGATGGTTGCGTCCGTGCCCCATTTGCGGCCATCTAACTATTGGCTGTTTTCTATCATCAAATTCTTCAATCCTGCTCCCCACCAAATGGTCTCAGACACTCAACCCAAGGACTGCCCAAGCCATGCCACTAGAATATTGGGAAGAAGTGTGTAATTTTGAAAAAGGATGACACGTCCTGTTTAATTTTGTTCTGTTCTGTTTTTTATGGATCCCATTCAATTGAAAAGGCCTAGGGTGGTGTAAACAGCCTTTAATGAAGGGCAGGGTAATGGGACGGTGGAGATCCTGTCACCAGTCAAGTCCCCGGCCAGACTGACAGCTGATGGCAATCCTAGATTGATGGTTGATGTGCTAACTGTTTGTTCATTGACTGGTTTGGGTTGTGCCCTTTCTCCATGATTTCCCTCCCGGTAGAGATGCTGACGAGTCACAGAGATATCTGGAGGTCATCAGCAAAGAGCACAGGAATGCACAGACTCACTTTTCCATTACGAACTCAATAAATGACAAGAACATTTTTCACCTGACTCGCAAACTATCGCCAACACTTGCCACTTCTCAGATGGGTTTCCCACAGAAACCCAAAGGAGGCCCTTGCTGGACACCGCATCCTCTCAGTATAGCTCTCTCTGTTGAGTCTCTGAATGAGGCCTTTGATGGCCACGAGCTGTGGGCTCTTGCTACTGGGGGCGTGGTTCTCTGGACACCTTAAAGCAGAATGTTCCGGGTTCCACATGCTGCTGCTCTATTGCATGTGGAACAAAGGAAAAGCAAGCCCTTGGTGGAGCTTTAGAACACAGCTTCTTCATTAGAGCCCCCATGGGTAGCCTTTACTGGCTTCATGTAGACCTAGGAAAAGGAAGAGAACATCATAGCGTCTGCCTTTCTCTTACCTTCTGTGAGGAAGTGTGGCTTGAGCTGGTCTGTCGCCTAGAGGAAGACAGTTTATATCATCCTTCAGGATTATCTCGCTGAGTCCTTGGCCCTTTGAGATGGACTTTTCTTGAGTCTCACTGCCAGTGGGCGGAAGGCCCAGTGTTTTTGCATTCTGACCCATGAGAGCCATTCTGGCTCGTTTCAATATTTGATGTCACTTCTTCTTCAGATGTTGTGGTGTTCCGGTTCACTGGCAGCTTCCATAGTAGACGGTGGTACAGAGAGCATCAAGGTCATGGGTGTCTACCAGATGGCTCATTCGTGCCTATGAAAGGAAGTCTTGCTGGCAAGAAATGGTCTGGCTGCACAAGCAAGTTTGTAACAGACCACACACTAGGGAGAGAGCGTAAGAAGAAAATTTAGTTTGAGGTCACCAGAAAAGCATGGAAGAGAAACGATTGTTCCATCCCTGTAGTACAGGTTCTCTCACTTGGCCTTATCAGATGGAGAAGAAAAAGAGGTGAGGGGGCGGGGGCGGGGGGAATCTGTGTTTGGAATTTTTGAAGCGCCGTCTAACTGTTGAACTCACCATGTGACATCTGAATGAGTGTGGTCATAAGAAGAAAGATGTTACTGCCTCGGCAGGGAACACTTCTGTGGCTTCTCTCGGGAGCCCAATGCTAAGTCTTTGAAAATGTCTCCTTCAGGACAGTGCAGCAGAGGATGCATTATCAATACACTGCAGATCCTGAGGCTGGGGAGATGGCTCAGTCAATGAGGTTCCGATTCCCAGCACCCATGTGAATAGCCACCTGTAACTGTGGGGTGGGGCAAGGCAGGCACAAAAGTAGGGGGTGGGGGGGGCAGATCCCTGGAGCTCATTGGCCGGTCAGCCTAGCTGAATTAATGAGTTCATCCTCCCAAAATAAGGTGGAATAACATTGAGAATGACACCTAAATGTTGACCTCTGACCTCCATACACATGTGCACACTCACATGTACATATCACACACACATGTGCACACATAAATATTGCATACTTCTTTCCATTACCTGCCGTCTTACTAAGATATTTGCTGACCCCAGTTTCTTTCACCTGTGCTCTCTGTCAACCAATATGCCCAGCCCACGTGACCACGCACTCAGTCAACACAGTTGAATGAGTGAATGAATGGCGTCTCCACAGCCACTGCCACATGAGGATTTGGATTGAGAAGTGGGTGTTTTAGCTAGGTGTGGTAGTATACACCTATGACTCCCTGACATTGAAAACAGCCAGAAAGAGGTCAAGTTCAAGGCCAGTTTGGGCTACTTAATGAGACCCTAGCTCCCTCTTTTAAAAAACAATGAGAAAAGTATGTGTCACTTATTCTGTGTGTGTGTGTGTGTGTGTGTGTGTGTGAGAGAGAGAGAGAGAGAGAGAGAGAGAGAGAGAGAGAGAGAGAGCAGAAATCTGGTATCGCTCAACTGTTAGTGGAGAACTTAAAACACCTTTCCCTTTCCCTTGGGTGCTCTGAAGTGTGCCATGTCAGGTCTCTGCAGCCAACATGAGGCGCTCGCCATATTCTCTCTGAGAACAGAGGTGACCACTCGCTCTTCTCCTAAGGGAGAATGAATCCTGTTCATGGGCTTTGGTGATTCAAGCGCCTGCTGTTCAGTAGGTTACTGTGCCTTCATGCCTGTCCACGGTAGGCGTGTTCAGTAGGTTACCATGCCGTCATGCCTGTCCACGGTAGGCATGTTCAGTAGGTTACCATGCCGTCATGCCTGTCCACGGTAGGCATGTTCAGTAGGTTACCATGCCGTCATGCCTGTCCACGGTAGGCATGTTCAGTAGGTTACTGTGCCTTCATGCTTGTCCACGGTAGGCATGTTCAGTAGGTTACCATGCCGTCATGCCTGTCCACGGTAGGCATGTTCAG